TCTTCAAGTAGGTCACTCAGCATTCAGCTAGTTGGCTAGCAACAAGGGGGAGCAAGCCGAACTCCTGCACTTTGTTCACTGTGGCATTCACCACTTTTGTAGCTATTTAAAAATATTTGCGTTTGACAAAGACTCATGAAACACCGATGGTCACGATTTCCAAAAGTGATTGCTGAGTTTGATTTGCCAACTCAATACACCTTAAAAGCACCTGATTTTCAGAAAGTGCTGAGCACCCCCCCCCCCTCCGGAAAGTCTCAAGGTGGGCACCCAAAGAATGGAGGAACCCAGAATCACTTCTGAACATCTTGGCCCAAGTAGGTAGGAAAAAAGAGGTGGGATTTTTTTCAAGGATGTGAGGAAGAAAAGTGCCCAAGTCCCACTGAAAGTCACTGGGTGCCTAATTCTCTTATGTGGGCTGAAAAATCCCACCCAGACTCTCCATTTTGAATATTTAATGAGATGGCAACATTCCAGAGTAAAGTTCTGGCCTTGCTTTGTTCTGGCTTTGCATGTTTTAGCACCCCACATTGAGCCACACTTATTTTACAAAATGGATGGAGCTGACAGGGGTTATAATGGGTGAGGAAGAGGCGCAAGCCCGGGGCTGGAGGTGCATTGTCTTTGTGAGACAGCAGGAGGCTATGAATCAGTGAGGCTAACAGCTCCCCGCTGCTATGAATTACAGCGTGGGAAAGAGAGAGATTCGTAAAGGTAAAACTGAAAGAGTTAAGAAAAATGATCCTGGAGTTCTCTGGACAAACGCTCCTCTTAAGAGCCGTCCACAGTGTGGGTGGATGGTGGTGTTAATAATACCACTCCGAAAATCTTTAGGCCCTTCCGTCAGCAGATTGCACCATGTTTTACCAATGTGAACAACTGTGAACTAATCACCTGAACGCACAACAACCCATGATCTTGGTAAGAGGGATGTGTTCAGTGTGGCGCTTTAGCCACCACCGAGATGCTGCTGCATGTGGGCTGCAGCTTGATATAAACTGCCTCTCCTACAGGAGGTTTGCCAGGATACCTAGATCAGTGTAGCTGAGCCACTGTACGCAGTATAGATCTCCTTTTCAGCTCCTGACTACATCCGACCCACCCAAGATATTGTATCGATACACAAATAGGTTTCTACCGGCCATTTCGAAAGATACAGAGTGTTCCACTTAAACATAAAAGGATATGAGACGTATTAGTCTGGCATGGGTATTTTGCCAGGGACTTCTCATTGTATTTTTTAAATTCCCAGGTGTCTGACATTTTCATTTGACTCTGACTAATCCATGTTTAAAACAAAAGCCGCTTTTCCAGTCATTCTTGTAATATTCTCCTTGGATCCCTGCTCCAGTTTCTATTGTGGCCAAAGCTGTACCCACATTTTAACAAGAACTTGGACATAGTTTAGTGAACTTGGAATGTGGAACTTATTTATGAATGCAAGAAGAATTAGAGGTTTTAAACTTTTTTTTTCTTTGAATCTCAAATGTTTGAGGATTCTTTGATGAGGAATGTAGATGGCAAGGGTGTAATTCGTAAGTGTGTAAGGGATTGAAGAGACTTGAAGTTCAGTGGGATTTACGCACCTAAATCCCTCAGTGTTTCTGATCATCTCTCCCATGATAAACAGTATGGTGACCTTTTAAAAGCCTTGTAGTTCTACAGCTAAGACTTTTCAGAAAAAGACTAGCACAGACTATTCGTTATAGGCTATGTTTTAGTCACGTGTATTTTTAGTAAAAGTCATGGACAGGTCAGGGGCAGTAAACAAAAATTCACGGCCCGTGACCTGTCCATTACTTTTACTGCATTTCCCTAACTAAAACTTGGGTGAGGGGACTGCAGGTGCTCTGGGGTGTGTGGATCCATGGCTTCCATGACCTCCGTGACAGACTCACAGGCTTAGTTATAGCCCATAATGCCAGTGGCTGCTTGCTCCATCGTGGGGTCACTGCTTCAGCATCCAAAAAGAGCACAAGATCTGCTGATGAGCTGCTTGGAAACCAGGCCACGTGAGGAGGGGGCGCAGCTGCCACGTGGGGATAATTTCACATTGTATGTTATGATGTGATTTTTCTGAACCAAGCTATTAGGACTCCAGAATGTTCGTAAGCAGCAAAATACTTGCTATAGCAACGATGCAAGCAAACAGAACATTCTCATTTTTGAAACTATGGGAGACAGTGGTTGCCCTCAAATGTTCCGGTCAAGTATGGGGTTGTTTGAGTTCAAATATAGTAAGAAAATGTATTGTGCTATCCGGGGAATTCAGTGAGTTGAAAAATAGCAATTAGAATCACAAATAAGAATGGGTCAAACTGAGGGAAGATGTTACACCTCCTCAACCCACCCCCAAAATCCAGCTCTGTCGCCGTGATATACCACAATGAGACTTCCCTCACCCAAGAGCTCCATAATCTGATCATCCCTTGCCTGACATGTGAGCTCTGCCGAGCAATGAAATTGTTCATTAGTGTGTTTACATGTTTATTGTTTGGCTTCAGAGTCAATGTCCCCTTGGAATTGAATAGGATAAACTCGGGCGTATCATAGAATCATAGAATATAAGGGTTGGAAGGGACCCCAGAAGGTCATCTAGTCCAACCCCCTGCTCGAAGCAGGACCAATTCCCAGTTAAATCATCCCAGCCAGGGCTTTGTCAAGCCTGACCTTAAAAACCTCTAAGGAAGGAGATTCTACCACCTCCCTAGGTAACGCATTCCAGTGTTTCACCACCCTCTTAGTGAAAAAGTTTTTCCTAATATCCAATCTAAACCTCCCCCACTGCAGCTTGAGACCATTACTCCTCGTTCTGTCATCTGATACCATTGAGAACAGTCTAGAGCCATCCTCTTTGGAACCCCCTTTCAGGTAGTTGAAAGCAGCTATCAAATCCCCCCTCATTCTTCTCTTCTGCAGGCTAAACAATCCCAGCTCCCTCAGCCTCTCCTCATAACTCATGTGTTCCAGACCCCTAATCATTTTTGTTGCCCTTCGCTGGACTCTCTCCAATTTATCCACATCCTTCTTGAAGTGTGGGGCCCAAAACTGGACACAGTACTCCAGATGAGGCCTCACCAATGTCGAATAGAGGGGAACGATCACGTCCCTCGATCTGCTCGCTATGCCCCTACTTATACATCCCAAAATGCCATTGGCCTTCTTGGCAACAAGGGCACACTGCTGACTCATATCCAGCTTCTCGTCCACTGTCACCCCTAGGTCCTTTTCCGCAGAACTGCTGCCTAGCCATTCGGTCCCTAGTCTGTAGCTGTGCATTGGGTTCTTCCGTCCTAAGTGCAGGACCCTGCACTTATCCTTATTGAACCTCATCAGATTTCTTTTGGCCCAATCCTCCAATTTGTCTAGGTCCTTCTGTATCCTATCCCTCCCCTCCAGCGTATCTATCACTCCTCCCAGTTTAGTATCATCCGCAAATTTGCTGAGAGTGCAATCCACACCATCCTCCAGATCATTTATGAAGATATTGAACAAAACCGGCCCCAGGACCGACCCTTGGGGCACTCCACTTGATACCGGCTGCCAACTAGACATGGAGCCATTGATAACTACCCGTTGAGCCCGACAATCTAGCCAGCTTTCTACCCACCTTATAGTGCATTCTTCCAGCCCATACTTCCTTAACTTGCTGACAAGAATACTGTGGGAGACCGTGTCAAAAGCTTTGCTAAAGTCAAGAAACAATACATCCACTGCTTTCCCTTCATCCACAGAACCAGTAATCTCATCATAAAAGGCGATTAGATTAGTCAGGCATGACCTTCCCTTGGTGAATCCATGCTGGCTGTTCCTGATCACTTTCCTCTCATGCAAGTGCTTCAGGATTGATTCTTTGAGAACCTGCTCCATGATTTTTCCAGGGACTGAGGTGAGGCTGACTGGCCTGTAGTTCCCAGGATCCTCCTTCTTCCCTTTTTTAAAGATTGGCACTACATTAGCCTTTTTCCAGTCATCCGGGACTTCCCCCGTTCGCCACGAGTTTTCAAAGATAATGGCCAATGGCTCTGCAATCACAGCCACCAATTCCTTCAGCACTCTCTGATGCAACTCGTCCGGCCCCATGGACTTGTGCACGTCCAGCTTTTCTAAATAGTCCCTAACCACCTCTATCTCCACAGAGGGCTGGCCATCTCTTCCCCATTTTGCGATGCCCAGCGCAGCAGTCTGGGAGCTGACCTTGTTAGTGAAAACAGAGGCAAAAAAAGCATTGAGTACATTAGCTTTTAGGGCGTAAATGTTCTCCACATTTTCAGAATGGGTTGGTTCAAGTTTTGGCAGATGTTTTTCCCCCCAGGTTTTTATAAATCAAACCAATGTTATAAATTCCCAATGAAGGATAGAAATCTTGCCTGTCGATGGCTTTGGATGTCATTGTGAATGTGTCAGACAGCCTAAGAGGTGCAAATATTTCCCAGCTGTACAGTGAAGGGAGCACCTTAAATACCGATCATTACCCTGATGAACACAGATTCAGTTTTGCTCTATAGCAAACCTCTGTCAGTATAAGGGCTCAATCCTGCAAGGTTCTGGCCCCAATCCAAAACACATAAGTACATGCTTAACTTTATGAGTGCAAGCAGTCTTACTGATACGGCAGAGCTAGTGAAAGCTCCCCATCTTATGTCTGGGATATAAGTGTTTGGCTACCCTTTATATCAAGGTTCCATTTAGAAATTATTAATAGCTGTCTTAATTAAAGAGGTAACCAATTTTTAGAGTCCAATGGGTCAATAGGTTGCTTAGAACCATCTGCAACACCTTATGCTGATGTGCTTAGAACCATCAATAATATGTCCTACTGATGTCTGTAACATGCTTATACCATCTGTTCATCATTATTAGCTGATTTTGTAGACTGTTTATAAATAGAACCTTAATACAAAGTGCGACTGGATGTTCTTCCTGTTCTTTCTTCCCTGCAGTGCCATTGGATTTATTTTTTGCTATTTATATTGTCCTTCCTCCCTCTTCTTTTCCAGGTACAGTAGCCATGGACCTGCAGAACACGGAATGTCGTCCTGTTAACAGCAGCAAGCTGACCCTGCCAGCTGAAAATGGATCAGGTAACAGACGGCCCAGCATTGCCCCGGTCCTAGAGCTAGCAGACAGCTCTTCCCTCCTGCCCTGTGATCTGCTCAGCGACCAGTCAGAAGATGAGATGACTCAGTCAGATGACGAAGGACTTACTGTTGTAGAGTGAGTTGCCATTTGAGAGCATCATCTCTTAATGTTAGTGTCACTGCATCATCATAAGCAATCAACTCCTATGGGGGTTGGGATTTTCAAAAGACTTTAAGGGGTTTATATGTCCAATTACCATTGTCTTTCAACTAATTCATTATCATTATTATTATTATTTATTATTTATTATTATTTCATTACTTTTACTGTGGTAGTGAGTAAAGAGTCCTGAGCATGGACCAGGATGGTGGTTGTTATAGAAACACATGCCAAAAATGACACCTGCCTCAAATTGCTTACAGTCTAAGTACCCTGGGTTCCTTTGAAAACCCGAGCTGTGAAGTTTAAAGTTGGTGAGCTTGCTACGACTATTATTTACTATTTGTATTGGGATAACCTCTATTATTATTTATTTGAATTATTGTACCTACCTAAGCAAGCTGCACTTCTGAGCTGTGCTTTGAGTTGATACAATGAGACATCTCCCAACAATTTGCAATAAATACACATTCTTTGCAGTTTTTTGTTAATCCTCAATAATCAGGTGTAAACAATCCATCTGGGTTTACCATAACCCTGTCTCTAAATCTAACAGTTACCACTGATCTTGTCTCTTCCTTCTTCAAGGCACTGGGCACACATATATTCATCTAAATCTCAATTTATTTTGAATTAAAGATTCTCTCTAAAAAAAAGTTTGAGAGTTGCAGAAATTGCTGGAAATTAAAGATTTACAAGCCTATGTTAGAGCTACAGTAAATACTGCAGATTGTTCAGAAGAAAGAAAAATTAAAGGAGAGAGGTTTAGAAAGACAGGAATTGCCAGACTAGCTCAGATCAGTGGCCTGCTTCTGACAGTGGTCTGCACCAGTTGTTTCAGAGGAAGGTGCAAGAAACCCTGCAGAAGGCAGTTATTCAAAGAAGAAAATATTTGTAGTGCATAAACTATATTGGAGCTATAAAAGCACCAATCTGCAATTTTTGAGCATGCATCTTTAAAAGCAAAGATCCTGTGCTGAAGGGTGCTACTCTCTATGATGCCATCGGGTAATTCGATCAACCCCAGGGTGAAGGAACGAGGAATCATGCCTAGACAGGCCCTAGCTAAAATACAGTCATACAGTCCTGCCTATATGGATTGGAGTTACGGAACAATAAAATCAGATCTAAGGGAATTTGCAATCTGAGCTGCGTTCTGTGTGGGTTTTTCTTTTTCATCAAGGGACGTCTCAGTTAAATGTACAGCAATAAAATGATTTCATGTGGCAGCTGCTTGAATAACAGAAATTAGGGATGGTGGAGATCTAAGAGGTAATCTGGCTCCTCCGACTCGTAGCCAGTGCACAGTTGTTCCCCGCAGCGTATTGTCGAATGTTTTTCCGGGTTAAGTTCCGGTGACCCAGGCAGTGGTTTCCCTATCACGTCTCTTGGGTCACCATTCCAAAGTCTAATGCCTTCACTATGCTAAGGATTTGCCACCCCCGAGCCCGAGTTACGCTCCACCATTATAAAGTGCAGCTTTCCTGGTTTACACTAGGAGTTTGTACTACTGCAGTGACACCAGTGACTGAAGGCGGGAATTGGGGGTACATCCCTAGGGAAGACAAAGCCCAGTAGGCTTCAGCATTAGGGGATTTTTCTTGCTATCCAGCCTAAATTTTCCTTTGGTCAATTTTTCTCATGACTCCTACTTATATACTTGAGCTGCTAATTTACACCTGTGTGAAACACACAAAGAAAGCATGAGTCTGCCCTGGGATGGACAAAGGGAGAGTAGTGAGCCTGCTTAGCTTTGAATCAGGGACCTTTTCAGGTTAGGCACACCTGGCTGTTGCCTGCAGATGCTGTAAAAAAGCATCTGTCTTTTGTTTATTACTGATAAGCTACAGGCACGAGAGCTTAACAGTTAATACAACAATAATTTGTATGTACAGCTCCTGGTGCCATGGGGCTTTGTTCCTGATTGAGGCCACTGGGCACTCCCATACTATGAACGTTAAATTATACTATTGATAGCACATTGCTAAGGCCTTGATCTTGGTCCTGTCAAGTTCAGTGGGACTTTTGACTTCAAAGAGAGCAAGGCCAGTATTGAAGTGCAATGCAGGAGTCACCAGCGAGAACGGAAAAAAGTCCTCAGATCTGTGCTGTCTATTAAAATAGCCAGCAGGGCTCATCTTGGTATTTTGCATTTTCCAGTGGAGTGGAAGAACAAACCCAATGAAATTAGTTTACCCTTCACTAAAATCCTGTTGGCATAAATTAACCTCCCGAGAATAGTTTTTACTCTGCTTCTGCTATATTGCTGTGGAAACTGTGATTGAATGTTATCAGCAATGACATGCTGAGCCGAGCAGAAATTATGTCAGGGATGAATATGGTTATAAAACAGTGCTGGAGCAACACCATGTGGTCAGTTCAGTGTGTTCAAACGTTAGCTTGTCAGACATTGACGGTGAAGCAGTTTTGCCTTATTCCCAGTTCCTTGCTTGCAGTTTTGGAGAAGCATCCCTTGACCTCTGAAGAAGTCACACTGAGCTAGAAGCACTCTGTGGACTTAGCAGAATTTCCCCACCAGCTCCCTTTCCTCTGCTACCTCAGGGGCAGGGAAAGGATTGTATTCTGCATTCTCCATCATTAGGGAAGTAAAATGTTGATTCCAGCTGTAAAAATATTAATGTAAAGTAGCAGTCAGTATTGCATTCATTTGTGACATTGCTTTAATGAATCGTGTGTGTGTGTATGTGTGTGTGTTTCTCTCTGTGTTGGCTCTTACAAGATAAACAATTTGTGCAGATGCATGTGTCCACACTCACTCAAATTTATTTGGCTTATAATTTAACGTATACTTTTAATTACTTGTAAGCTGAAAGCTTTCTATTCCTTCAGTTATATCAGGAACACAAATTACAGCATGTCCAGTATGTTTAAAAAAAACCTGCCTACAAATGTGCTGTGAGACTGTGAATCTGTATCGGGCTTGAAACTCTATGCCATTCTGTGATGTTTAGATTTAAGATGTGGGTTCAGGCCCATTGCTTCTAGATGCCTTTATCTTCCACAGTCTGCTTAGTTCTCTGGCTGTCCATGAGAACAAAGTCTTTAAAAGATATTCCCCAAGCCTGGAAATGGCAAAAGTATTTTCAAATAAACTTATCTTGAAAAATTCCTAGGCTGTTTTGGAAGAATTTATAAAACATCCTTACTGTGATCTGCATAAACCCATGAGGTTCCAGTGTTTCTAAACAGTCTGTGTATGGACAAATGTGTTTGCCAGGGCAAATAAGTGTTCCTTGTGTGTGTGAAAAATATACACGTGCTCTGATGCATGTTGTCTCCTCTGCAGATATGTGAAAGGCTACCCCCCGAACTCGCCCTACATTGGGAGTTCTCCCACTTTGTGCCACCTTCTACCTGTAAAAGCCCCTTTCTGCTGCTTGAGGTTGGACAAGGTAAGAGGCTGCTGTGACAGTATTTAAAGGTTCCAGTGATGTTATTTGCACTTGCATTTGTGGCAGGGGCTTGAAGCACTTTACTAAGGTAGGGCAGCATTATTACCTCCAATGGTGAGAACACAAGTCTGGGTGTTCAATTCCCAGCTCCACCACAGATTTTGTATGTGATCTTGGGCATGTCATTAAATGTGTGTATCAACTTCCCATCTGTAAAATGGGGACATTAGTATTTTCCCTAGTCTCAGGGGTTGAATGAGGATAAATACATTAAAGATTGTGAGGAGATCAGTATGGCTATGGGGGCCATATATGCACCTTAGATAGATAGAAGTGCAGTTACACTGGGTCAGTGATAGGGATGAGAATAGACCCTACATCTGCTCATAGCCTCTTCGCTGGCTGCCAGGGGAATAGGTGTAATGCTTACCTGGGAAAACGAGAATGTGAAAACACCTGCTTTTTGACAGCAGCTTAAGTGCATGATCCGAAACGTGCCAGGCCAGTCCTGTGCAGACCCCACCGTGTAGCAGAATGAGTCACGCGGGAGCTGTGATTTGACACTTTGCCTGTCTGCTGGTGGTTACTTTGTGGCTTTGTAAAGCGTTTGCTTTCCTCGCACTGTTATCTGTGAGAGGGCTGGAAACATTTTATTGAAAGATGGAGGAGCTTCTCTAGTTTTCTGTGGTAAACTTTTTCTTTTAAGCAATAATTACATGGCTCTGTACTGATAACCCAGTTGTTTTCTGTGTATTGCACCTTGAAGTTCCCAGACAACTGGTGTCTTCAGTGGCAGCTGCCATTTTGCGAGGCAGCATGTTACAGAGCAGACACTGTGCTCACTCCCAGTGAGACTTTACTTTTGTTCTTCCTTTGCTTGTTTTTCCTTAATATAAGCTAACTCATTCTGAGGAGGGGCCAAACCAGTACAGTTCGGCTGCTTTTCATTGCCCTGCCAGTGAAATTTAGTCTGAAAGCCTGATTAACTGAGCCTGGCAGAGTGACCCCCATTTAAGCATTATCTTCCAGCGGCATGGAGCCAACTTATGGGCTCTCACACCACTTGCCAGGACATCTTCATGCATCAGTCCTGCAGCTGTAGTTTGGCCAATTTGGTCTTTTTCAGCTAGCATAAGTTAGAGCAGCAGGTTAACGGGAGTGCAAAAGTAAGGTTGAAGACACCTGTGGGACACATACTTAGCTGGTGTGAATTGATGGTTCCCACCAGCTGAGGATCCAGCCCTATGTAGGGGAACCATATTAGTTTTAACTTAAACTCAGAATTAGTCTCAGTGATGTGTTAGAGGCTTGTCGATCTCTAGGCGTTGATCCACAAGGGAAACATCTGAACTTCAGGGCATGCCTGGGGGGTTCCCCAAAACCAGCTTTGATTTCATTGTTGGGAACTGGTCATGTAAAAACAGGTTTCAGAGTAGCAGCCGTGTTAGTCTGTATCCACAAAAAGAACAGGAGTACTTGTGGCACCTTAGAGACTAACAAATTTATGAGAGCATAAGCTTTCGTTGGCTACAGCCCACTTCATCAGATGCATTGAATGGAACATATAGTAAGAAGATTATTTTTATATGTATGTATGTGTGTGTGTGTGTGTATATATATATATACACACACACACACACATACAGAGAAGGTGGAATTTGCCATACAAACTGTAAGAGGCTATTAGGCTAATAGCCAGGCTAATAGCCTCTTACAGTTTGTATGGCAAATTCCACCTTCTCTTTATGTATATATATATATATATCTTCTTACTATATGTTCCATTCAGTGCATCCGATGAAGTGGGCTGTGGCCCACGAAAGCTTATGCTCTAATAAATTTGTTAGCCTCTAAGATGCCACAAGTACTCCTGGTCATGTAAAAAGGCACTTTCATGTTTCTGATCTAAGTCACTGATTCAGACACATCCCAGTTCATCTGTCACTGAAAGTTGTTACTTTCTGTCAAGCAGGGGTCTATGAAACAAGTCATTGGCCTTGTCCCTCATGGGCAGGAGTCCTTAGCACTAAATCCACTACAATAACTGTCCTCCTTTTTAGAAGTCTCAGCTGTGAGACCAAAGACTGAATAGACCTGGAGACTGAACTCCCTTTGGGAGAGTATCCCTGCGAGTCAGGTTCAAGGCATATGTGGGGCAGTTTGGGAGAGCTGGTATTGGGTTAGGCCCGGTTAGTAGAGAGCTAACCTCTCCAGGACTGGTTACTCTGATCCCTTCCCGCAGCACAAAATTCACTTTCAAAACTTAAAAAAGGAAAAACAGTGAAAGTGAGCCGGGATGTGGGGCCATCAGGCCCAGACATGGAAGGTTGAAATTTGGATAAATTCCAAATCATCTCTAGATCAACTCTCTGCAGGATCATTCTCCCACTCTGGGGGCTCATGAGCTTCTGCGCAGCTCACAGCTCAGAGCCAAGCTGGCTCAGTGCTTTTGCCATGTCTGAATGTTAGAAGATTCCCCTTTCCTGGGGGAGAAAACAGCCATTTTATCCTTATTTTCCTAACAGTGTCAGGACAGATGGGCAGCTCTATAGACTGATCACTGAGCCACGGTGCTTTTCTGTCTCTGCACAGGGCTGCAAGCACAACAGTTATGAAGATGCCAAGGCCTATGGGTTTAAGAACAAATTGATTATAGTTTCAGCAGAGACTGCTGGGAATGGCCTGTATAATTTCATCGTCCCTCTCCGTGCATACTATAGGTCCCGGAAAGAGTTAAACCCAATTGTATTGCTACTGGACAACAAGCAAGTACTCTTCCAAAGTTGTTTTCCATTGCATCAGATCTTTCCTTGCATTCAAATGGGTGTTTCATACTGTGTATTTATGGGAGGAGTTAAATGGGTGATTTTAGCATTTTTAATATAATACCTAAAATCTGATGGCCTGATTCTCCTGTCGCATCAGTTTTTCACCATTGACGTCTGTGCATTCACTCCTGATTTCTTTTCCTCTTGCTTACTAGTATAAAATGCCCCTATCAACCTTCTTGCTGTTTGCCTCTCTTCTTCCAGGCCTGAGAACCACTTCTTGGAAGCCATCTGTTGTTTCCCCATGGTTTACTACATGGAAGGCACTATCGATAAGTAAATGTCTTGTTTACAGCTATCCGTATTTACAATGTGTTGCAAATCAAAGGAGAAAATAGCCCTGATTCTGCAGAGGAAAATTAAATAAGCAAAGGGATGCTATACTGCGTACCAGGCACACAGTATCACTGGCAATAAGGACCAGTATTTACCAAGAATAATCGGCTTCACATGCAGCCTCTTACAGCCTAATCAATGGTGCGTAGCTGCTCCCATCCTACTTAGCTGATCCCCATGTTATAGGCATGGACAGCAGCAGTGAAGTTTGGATTCAGAGCTGAACTTCCCCAGGGCTTCAGGGGAATTCGGAGATGGTTTTCTCCATCTCTGCTTCCAAGACTAGCACTGCTTTTCTATCGGTGTGTCCGGGTAGTTATGTGGACGCCCGTCACTGTAGTATCGGAGCACAACCATCTAGAGTTAAGTTAGACTCTTTCTTACCTAGCAGACATATCATACATTTGATGTTCTGGGTTCTCTAACTGGCACAGCTAAAGTTGGGAGATTGTCACATTTTAAGACCCTGCAACTATACAATAGTTTGGGCTTCATCTCAAGTTTTTCCCCCTCCTAGGATTTGTTAGTCTGTACTGGATATGGTTATGGTTATTTCAGTAGCATTTTGCATGCACAGGATTGCCTGGGCATTTATTCTGTGCAAATACATGGGTATGTTTGCAAACGATCATTCAGCATCTTATTTTCCAATGGATTAACCCCCCACAACCTTTTGTCTTGGGGGATTGTTCCAGCCTAGACAGTTTGCTGCAGTGTGGGATCATTTATGCTGACAACTTGGTGGTTGTGGATAAGGAAAGCACAATGAGTGCAGAGGAGGATTACATGGCAGACGCAAAAACAATTGTCAACGTCCAGACCATGTTCCGGTAAGAAGCAGCTATGGGTTCTGCTCTGTCGTTTGCACCTGCCTCTCTTCTTATAGTTTTTTAATTTGTCTTAATGGAAACAAAAGACTCAGAATGGGCCCAGGCAGAGGGTGTGGTGGGAGGTGCCTATATTAGCTGGCCTTTTCTGCAGTGAGTTGAACGGTCCTTGGTGTGAGTGGGGATTCTGCACACCGAGGGTTTGCAGGGTCAGGCATCTACAGAGGATATTAGGTCTGGGTTCCCAGGTTGGGCTCCTGTGTTTGACATGGCCTGCATCTGGCCCTTGCACACAGGCATGCTAATTAATAAAGAAAGTCCTTGCACTCTATCCCCAACTTTGTGCATCGCCAGCCATGCTGTCGGTGTGCACCTATTGGTCACTCCAGTAACTAAATAGAATTAAAAGGGGGGGTCAGTGAGGTGGTATGGGGGGAGGCCTTGCTTGTACAGCTTTTGGTGCTCTCACCCCAGCCTGTTTCAGATCTTGGATGGGGCACAAGGCCGTTTCCACTCTTTATTTGGCCACATTTCAAAGCTGAAAGCTTCCTCCTCCCCACCTCCCTTGGAATGCGCATGCACCAGACATTGATGAGTCTGCCTTCCATTGCAGGCTGTTTCCAAGCCTTAGCATCATCACTGAGCTGACCCACCCATCCAATATGAGGTTCATGCAGTTCAGAGCAAAGGACAGTTATTCCTTGGCCCTCTCCAAACTTGAAAAGGTAAGGAAGCCCCTTCATCCCGAGGAGGGTCTATGCTTTTCGTGTTTGCTAACAGGAAGCCTGGTGAGTTCCCTGCATGCCTGTGTTTGAAGGAAGGGTAATGTAATGAGTAATTAATTTACAGTTCTTCATAGTCCTGTGCTCTCCTGCTGTGCACTGCAGGGCACCATAGTTAATGAACATCCGTCCAGGATAATCTAAGACACGCAAATATGCAGGCAATTGACCTTTAGGGTCTCTGTGTTTCCTTAGTTAGTGCAACTAGCATCTCCACTCTTCAAAGCTGTCCCTGCTGTCAGTCTGATTTTAGTTACTCGGTACAATGCTCCCGCTGCGGTGGTGGGTTAAACAATTCTGCGAGAATAGACTTCTGCATCAAACTACATTCAGTGTTTATATTACATATTCCTTAGGCATTTTTGTGGGGTAGAAATAACAGCTGATGGGAAGGGGAAACATTCAAAGAATAACTGACCCAGACCACATGAGTGTCTGAGATGCTGCATTGACCCTGTCAGACTGCTGTAACAAATGAAAGAAATAATAGTTTGTCACGGTCTTCTGCTGAGTTTGTGCCAGTCAAAACAAGGACAGTTGACATCTCTGATACTACTGCCTGGTCTGAGTGCCCTCTCTTGAGGGGAAGGTAAAAGATTTTCATTTTTCTCCCGCTCGCGCACATACACGTATGTTGTACTGCATTCATGGTGTTGTGTATTAAGGGTGGTTGAAGCAATTCAGAGAGAATAAAAACCAGCATAAACTCAATGCTGAACTATATTTACCACCTCCCCATCTCTCTCTGTTTTTTCCTAACTTCCTCATAATGACCAATCTCTATGGGCAATCTCTGAACTGAAAGGGCTCTAGGGGCTGTTCATAAAGATCTGTCATAGATAAGCTGTCCTGCTGGACCTTACTGTCATTGTGGCTGATAGAGCATCTATCCAGTTACTATTGGGCAGATTCTCCTTCGGAGAAGAGACCGAACTCTCTGCAAATGAACACTGATGTTATAAATAAGGCGCAGGGATTAGAGAGGACAGGACAAGTGGGCAGGGGCTCCATGTACATCCTAAACTTCAAGAGAAACAGAAACCCCCAAAGTTCTGCAATGGACCAAGATGCCAAAGAAAGCTAAGGGATTCTCCATCACAGGAGAACCAGCTGAATCAATCATACTTCAGTGGTGGAGTAAGTGCGAGGCTGGCTTTACTGCAAGAGATTACCATCTTGGTAGGATGCAATTACATCAGCAATGAATGTGCTGTCACTGGGCTGACGTGAAACGTACCCTGTGGAGAAGGAGGATCGTCTTATAGCTAAGACATGGAGACCAGAGTTCAATTCCCAGCTCTGCTATGGCCTCCCCATGTGACCTTAGGGAAGTCACTTAGCCTCTCTGTGCCTCAGTTTCCCATGGGGACAATAGCTCTGTCTTGTTTATTAGACTATAAGCTCTTTGGGGCAGACACTTACTCTGTGTCTGTGCAGCCCCTAGACTGGTGGGGGTCTAGCAACATTACAGCAGTGCAAATCGTAAGTATCAGGAGCTTACGTTGACTTTTATTCTTTTAAAATAACAAACGGATATAATGACATTTCTATTAATTTTATGGCAGGTAGACCCTGCACATGAGGTACACTGCAGTCTCTCAGGAAAGCTGTTAAATGCACGAGTGTTCTGATCCCCAGAGTTCCCTGTGGTGAAATGAGAAGCTTCATTCTCTCCCATCCGTAGCCTTGCCTGACCATTATTACACTCTCCATACAAGACTCCCTCTCTGACCACTTGAGGACAGCTGAGATTCAATAGCGGCTTTTATTAATTCTGAGCTGCACTCAGAGTCTGTTGTTAGGGGATCCAGGAGTAGTCTTAAGATCTGAGGTTTGGTGTTAATAATTATCTGAATGGCCCCAGTGTTAAGACAGAAATTTGCCACCCAGGGAATAAAAGGTAATTATTAAGTTAACGCAGTTTCAAGATAGCCATGTCTGCAAATGCCAGAGCTGGGGCCTTGTCTGTCTATACTGTGGTATCCAACAGGGGGTGTGTGATGGATGTTGTGTTAGACAGTTAGACAATACAGCTACTGTTGCCTTTGAAGGGGAATTGGATCTGAGATGCTGACTGCATCGGGCTAGAAAGGCAGGTCTGATGACTGCATTTGTACATGCTGCAAACTTATATTGCTTAAGGGAAAAATCTTTCTCCCAACCCTCCCCTGCACCCCCAAGTTTCACTGATCATGGGAGAGGAGAATGTGTAACTAGTACACAGAACTCACCTCCGTGTGTTCCATGCTGGGGGGATGATCAAGGCAGGAACTGACCAGTGACGCTGTGCTCATAGATCTGCTAGCTATTACACCCTGCATAATGGGAATGCATCCCCGCTGGACATTGCTGCAGGAGCCCCCAGGGTGCAGCCCCAAAGGGTGGTTGTGGTGCTAAACTATCAGCTGTCTCTGGAGAGTGGGATCCAACGTCAGATCATGGCATCCAGACATGTTGCTTGTTGCTAGCTGTGAGCTTGGGCTGGTGTGTAGGCTCCAAGGTAATAGCAGCCTTCAACTACCTGAAGGGGGGTTCCAAAGAGGATGGAGCTCGGCTGTTTTCCGTGGTGGCAGATGACAGAACAAGGAGCAATGGTCTCAAGTTGCAGTGGGGGAGGTTTAGGTCGGATATTGGGAAAAACTTTTTCGCTAGGAGGGTGGTGAAGCACTGGAATGGGTTCCCTAGGGAGGTGGTGGAATCTCCTTCCTTAGAGGTTTTTAAGGCCCGGCTTGACAAAGCCCTGGCTGGGATGATTAAGTTGGGGTTGGTCCTGCTTTGAGCAGGGGGTTGGACTAGATGACCTCCTGAGGTCCCTTCCAACCCTGATATTCTGTGATTCTATGATTCTCACTTCACCACCGCTGCTGCTGCTTGTGCCTTGCTGGTTCGGGGACTCTAAATGCGAGAGCTGCCTGAAGGAGGCCAATTATTTTTGTAGGGATTTTTTTAATTTGTTTTTTCTCCAAAAATTTCCTTCAGGGGAAAAAAAATTTTTTTTTCAATGAAAAATACAAACAGGCCCCTTTCCCCCCTTTTCCCGAACCTATGGTTTTCAAAAACCAGTGTTGGGTTAAAAAAAGGCTTTTGAAAACTGCAAGTCTAAACTTTTTACCAAAAACTTTTTTACCAAAACTTTGCCAGTTTTCAGTTTTTGTTTTATAGTGGGGAAAAATGGAGAATTCCTACCAAGAAGAAAATGTTCATTTGGACCAAAATGCCATTTTTCATCCAAAAAGTGAATCGATGAAAAAATGTCAACCATCTCTCTGTCAACATCTCAATGTTATGGCATTATTTAAAAGAAGGAAGAGCCCTGGCTGAACTCCCCAGGGGCGGTGGCTGTTGTGTGGCTTGTTTCTCTGAGCTCATTGCAAGCAGGTCCTCTTGGTTTTTAAGAGTCCCTTGGCATCATCGTTTTCACCATCTCCACGTGTGATGTTGCCCAGGGTATGATCTGGGCTGCTGAATAGCTGTGTCTCCTCAGTTCTCTGGCCTTGGATGCCTTTTACACTGCTTTACTGGGGAACAGCCACTCCTGGCCAGTTAACACCCAGCCTCCAGCGTGTAACTTGCTCCCAGCTACACAGCATTGAGTGGTGTTAGCTCGCCACTCATGAATTACACTGCAGAAGAACCCCAGCAGATTCTCTAGTCCCAGAAATGTGCATCTTGTATCGCCCAGTACATTACTGGACAAAACGAGCTCATAGGAAATCTGTCATTTCATCAATGGACAATGATACATACCAGTCTTGTTATCCTAAACACACTGGTTAGATAAAACAGTGAAACACATTTATTAGCTACAAAGAAAGAAAAGAAAGATTTTAAGTGACTATAGGTAATGAGGTGTAAAAGTCAGGACTGGTTACAAAAGAAATAAAAAGATAAAATGCAAGCTAAATGCCTAACTTAATCTTAAAATAAGTGAACTTAAAAGCAAAAGGTATTTCTCACCATAAGCTTAGGGCAATCTGTACCAGCTGAAAAGCCTCCCAGCCAGGACTCCACCCCCTGCCCCAAGTTCAGTTATTTAAGAACTGTTGTCGTGAGCAGAGATGAAGGGGGAGAGTGAGGTCAAGCATTTTTCTCCCCTCTTTTATAAATCAGTTTCTTGTGCTAGAAACATCCTTGCTGAGTCATGGTGACAAACAGTCTCTTGTGGACTTGAGGTTTGAACTGTCCTTGTGATGAAATGCAAAATTCTTGTTCACACCTTCCCCAGAGAATGGCTGCTTAAGCAGGTGATAGTCCATTAACACCTGCTTGGGGGTTCCTGTGTGTCTTTGTCCCTGAAAACTGGTTTGGGCTTCCTTTTCTAACTTGGAATATGTTACAGCAATGTTGTATAGTAAAATCTTGTAACGTGACATACCATGTTGATGCACACATTTTACCAGAACAACAATGTTCAGCAGATTATGAGTTTTAAATGATACCTCACCAGACATACTTTGTACAAAATGTATCATAGTCTTGTAAAAGTGGTGAACATAATGGTAAAAACTCTCACACCGTGTTCCTCTCTGTCCATAGAAAGAGCGAGAGAATGGCTCCAACCTGGCATTCATGTTCCGGCTCCCATTTGCTGCCGGCAGAGTGTTCAGCATCAGCATGTTGGATACGTTGCTCTATCAGGTGAGAACAGGCCAACAGGTTGTGTGGTGTTGCTGTGAATGCTTCAGAGGGCTAAGCTGCTTCTGCCTTGCAGCTGCTGGTGTATTAGGGTGGTGGTTCTGAACAGGCATTCCAGCACCATATCCCTATCTATCCGAGATGGGGTCCCCATCCAGAGAGAGGTCTTACCCTAATGCAGGGGGGAAAGAGCTAGAGGCCCCAGCAGGGGTCCCTTCCTTTCAGTCTTCTGTGTTAGAGGATTCAGGTAAAACCTCCCAGTGGTTCCCCAGGCATTCATTGCAATCTCACTCATCCTCAGGACTCTGTTTGATAGATGGCTAGAGCCCAAGTGGGGTGAATTAGGACATGGCAGCTGCTTCTATCAGCTTCCCCAAAGGAAAGTCTGCCAATTTAAAGCAAAATAGAAATGGGGATATTTGGAGAATAGACAGGACTATAGGTCCAACCCTTCCATCACCTGCCTCACTCACACTAATGAGAGGGCCCTTCCATTTCTACCATCAGTCTCCTCGCTCTATACATGCTTCCACCGCTCCTTTAAACTGTGTGGCATCCCCCAGGTTCTGCGTATGGTGTGGTACGTGGTAAGTGTCTAGTTTAGGGACCCTTGAGCCATTTGGATGCATAAACTACTTTACATTGTGCCCACATTATATCCCTCTTCAGGGCACATTTTACTTTCTTCTTGTTAATGATGTTGGTTTCCTGTATTTTAGACACTCATTTAAAAACCGAATGCATCATGAGTTAAAACAAATAAAACTTAAATCCCCATGCCGTTTTCCCCCTTAAGAGAGGCAGAGAGAGAAGGAAGGAGCCACATGTGACAGATGTTAGTCACATCACTGAATTCACCTTTGGAATGTGCCCAGATACCATAGCTGTGGGCACAGTATAAGAAGCAAATAGAAGAGAATATAGAACATAATCTCACCTTCTTTCCAATCTGTCAATACATTTGTACATTAAAGTGAACAGTTGAACAAGTGAAACCTTTTCTCTGGCCTGATCTCTCTCTGAATTTCTCCTGTCAGTCGTTCGTGAAGGACTACATGATCACCATTACGAGATTGCTGCTGGGCCTTGACACTACGCCGGGTTCTGGCTACCTCTGTGCTGTAAGTGCTGATGTTTGTCTCTTTCAAGCTGTAATGCAGTGGGGTCACACAAGCATGCGGGTGTGTGCGTGAACATTCTGTGGGGACTGAATCTGGGACTTTCAGCCCCCAAACACAGGCCTCTTGAGCCACAGTAAAGAAGAACTTCTGTCACTGAACAGCAGACTGTTGTAGTCACGGGGGCTGGCCTCTAGAGGGAGACAAAAATCACAGCAACTGGGCCAGTGTGTTGGTTTCTCCATGTCATGTGAAATAAGCTCTACCCTTAACTCTGAACCTTACAACAACCTCCATCCCAAGAGAGTTAGATAGGAACCTCACAGACCCCCCTGCCCTTCTTGTGGGATCAAACAAAAGCCCTGGATCGCAATATCCCTGAGCCTTGGAGAAGTTTAGAACAGGATCCAAGCTCTGCAGCTTTGGACCTTATCAAGACAGGATTGCCCTGTGGCCGAGGGGTCCCTTCAGTGGGAGCAAAGAGACATTTTTCCCCCCTGTTGGTCAGATGAAAATCACTGAGGATGACCTGTGGATCCGGACATATGGCCGTCTCTTCCAGAAGCTTTGCTCTTCCAGCGCAGAAATTCCCATTGGGATCTACAGAACTGAATCACACATGTTCTCAACCTCCGAGGTAAGAAACATAGGGGTCAGAGAGTGCAGAAAACCTTACTGGCTGCAGCCCTGGTGTGAAAGATCCCAGCAGGGATAAGTCACTGGATAACATGTAGAAGAACTTCCAAAATGTGTGCAATGGTGTCAGTCAGCCTGGTCCCTTGCACTGTCAGCTTTGACCTTATAGCTGTTAGTGAACTGCATTATAGTTACAATCATGTCTAGCCAGGCAAGGAGAAATCCCATCTGAGCAGCTGATGGAGTAACATTTCTATTAAAGGACCAGCTGGGCCAGGCTGCCAGCAGCCAAAGGGGGCTCCCGATTGACTGGGGTTGGTGCCCAAGCAGTGGGATTGAATGGGGAGGGTGTAATAAATTTGCATGCGCTAGCCCCGTGTGAAACAGCTACGAGTGCATATTGGAAAGGAGGTTGGCTCGCCGATTCCCTGGTCTTCTCTTCTAATTTCTACATAGCACAAGGGTTTGTGTTAAAAGACAAATATGCACTGGTGGCAGAGGTGTTTGTGTTTGTACGGCCCCTGGCCCAAGGGGATCCTGTCCTGTGCTGGGGCTCTTAGGTGCTACCACAATACCCATTTGAAAAATCTTCATCTTATTTAGTATTGGCACAGAAACGGGGCAGGCGGGGCTCATCGGACATGGCAGGCAGCCACCTAGGAGAAGGAAAACTCCAAGTTTAAACCAAGAACACCAGGCCTGGCCACCCAGTTTGTAAAAGTTGTGCCAATTGCCCATACTCTGTGGTCTGCACTGCCAAGCCTGGGTAACTGCACAAGGCGAAGGTGAAGCAAGCACTGGCATAGAAAGTAATGAATGCTGTTTGGAGCTGGGTAATTGTGGGATCCTAGTCTTGCCACTGGCTCATGGTGTGAGCACAGACAGGTTAACGACCTTCTGTGCGATGCTTTGAACTGGGGAAGTGCTATAGAAGCCGTGATTAATTATTATGTGTTGACTGTGGACGGGTTTACAGATCTTAAACAAAAAGAAAAGGAGTACTTGTGGCACCTGAGAGACTAACAAATTTATGCTCATGCTCAAATAAATTGGTTAGTCTCTAAGGTGCCACAAGTACTCCTTTTCTTTTTGCGACTACAGACTAACACGGCTGTTACTCTGAAACAGATCTTAAACCGTGGCTCAGACTGGGGGACTAGAAAGAGAGAGTTAGGATGTGATGGACACTCAGTGATACATATTCACCACTAACACATATTGCATCTTCGTTTTGTTTTATTTCGAATGCAGCCTCATGACATCAGAACTCAGGTGAGTAACGTTGGTATTGAACCTGTGAGAACTTTGTTACAATTTTGGTTTTCTTTAAAATTTAGTGCCCTACTTAATGTTCAGCAAGGTAATGACGATCTGTATCCATCACGCATTGCTGTGAAAAATTCAGCAATACCCAGCATGGGCAGATAAGAATAGTTGGTTAGTGACTCAGTCTTAACTTTGAAACATGTTTAATCGTAAATATGAATTGAAAGCCATATAGAAAACTGCCACAAGGAGCTGAAGGTTGACAATTAGTTCAATCCAATCTATCCCTGTGTCAGAGATGCTGCAAACCATGGCACTATAAATGACTACATGCAATTAGGGTTCACATTTTATAATGGATATATGCTGTCATATCTGTCATGAGGATGAAAGGAAAACTTGGAAGTTCAGCAGTTTGGCCATCATGAGATAACATTATTCCATAAAAACTTCTGTGCCGGTGATGTTACATGCATTTATTATTATTATTATTATTAAATTCCAAGTTCACCACCTACATAGATTCTAGTATTAGAGGTTTTTGGGGTGGAGGTGGGGTTCGGAGATAGGGAAACAGTCCCTTGGTGTGAATGTTAGAACACTACCAGATAGTAGGAAAATGAAGTGTCACCATCGAATTGTCAGGATCCACCTAGCATCATGAGGGATCCAGGAGGTAGCAGTCGCAACATGCATATTGCATAATGTTGGGGAATGCTGATTATTTGGCCATTGGTGTAAAGGGGTAGACCAAGGTGGAGTCCCTTTTTAAGAATGGTAGCTGATCACACTAATACATAGATTCATAGATGGTTAGGGTTGGAAGGGACCTCAGGAGGTCATCTAGTCCAACCCCCTGCTTGAAGCAGGACCAATCCCCAATTTTTGCCCCAGATCCCTAAACGGCCCCCTCAACGATTGAACTCACAACCCTGGGTTTAGCAGGCCAATGCTCAAACCACTGAGCTATCCCTCCCCCCCCATTACATTACATTGTCCAAGTAAGTACCTGGTCCTACAAGGAGCTGAGCACAGCCAACCCCAGTGGAGTCAGGTGTTTAGTGTGTTTTCAACGGGAAGGTATTTAGTGCATCCCCTTATGTACTGCTGGGACTTCCAGTCGCAGATCTCAATCAATGTCGAGGATTGCGAGGATACAAAAGATGTCAAGGAACACTGGAACATCAAGACAAGCCATCACAGGAACTCCTGCTCGAGTGACCAGTCTGAGCACCCCTTGCTACGGCGTAAAAGCATGCAGTGGGCACGCAGGCTGAGTAGGAAAGGAAACAAGCACACAAGCAAAACAGCGGAGTGGATCAGCCAGCAGAGGTTGAGTCTGTACAGGAGGTCGGAGAGGCAAGAGCTTTCAGAGCTTGTCAAAAACCGAATGAAACATCTGGGTTTACCTACAACTGGATATGGTAAGTAGGTTTCGTTCTTGCTTACAGTTAATGGCTTTACCAGCATTGCGCCCCATTCACAAGCTGATCATGTAACTTAGCATCTATCCGAACCAAACCAGACACGTCCAGGGTATAAAATAATTCCAAAATGAAGCCTGATCCTCTAGCTTGTTCATAGCTCTGGATAGTACATTCAAACTTGGCATTCCCATCAACCTTCAGTCCTCTTGCCTTATAAATCCCACAGCACTGAGACGGAAAGGGACTTGTTTTCAGACACTGGCCTTTATTTCAGCAGTCACAAATAGCTGTGCGCACATCTGTAATTATTTGCAGGTGCAATAAATATCTAAGTACCAGGTATAACAAGGGAAATAAATGTCTAAATGACCTAAATTACAAGTGCAAAATTTCACTCATTTATTATTTGTGCCTGTAAAATTGATGACTGGCTAAGGAAAGGTTGAAAATATTGGCCCCCACTCTATCATCAAGCTGACCAAAATATCCATCTGTAATAGTTGCTAATGCTATTGTCTAAGAATTCTATCCCCTTAGCAAAGCAGGGAAGAAAAGAGCTCAGGCTGGCGCAATATCCCATCATTATATTTTTTTAATCCTTCAGCAAATTCTCTCCTAGAATTTTTTTTCTGTAGCTATAGAGCTGAGTGGTTCACTTCAATGTGTGTATAACTTAATAATTCTTTAATTATCTCATAACTCTCAGTAAAGCAAGTACTGTATGATATAACACTATGGCATAATGTAAGAATCTCTCAGTGCAATGATTATTTCTTCTAAAGTATTTTAATTGGCAGTTAACCCAAAAGCGTGTCTCACCATTTTTGGACAATAATCTGTCCCTTGGTTATGATGAAATCTTTAGCCCATGGCGTGCTTGTTTGCTTGTTTGTTTTTCTTTTAAGCCATCCTGTGCTACGGCCTGTTTGCCTCCATGCTACAAAAGCTTCTACCCTTCATGTTCAGGAGATAGCTCCAGTCTCATACAAAATAATGCAAACCAAGAGCGGGTAACTGGAGCCTTTGGGCCAGGACCGTTGTGCACAGTGGGATTGTGGAGCTGGCGTGAGCCTGGCAATACATTTCGGGAGGGATTTTAGATTTCTGGTCTCTATGTTGTTTGCATCATTGCAACTTTTCAGACATGTGGAAGAGAGGGAAAAGAACTTAAAAATAAATTTTAAAAAATTGGGGTGGGGGCTTTGAAGGGAAACAAAGATTTGCCCAATGCACCAGCCACTTCCACAAGCCTAGTTAAGGTAGAAGGTATTGTTCTGAGGGACCCTTCACGAGCTGGGAAGTTCTACGGTTGGATGTGGAATTGTGGAGCATTTCTCCCTTCTCTCCTTCTGCTCCCTGCTTTTGGACAATGTTCCAATGGCACAATGAGTTCATTTCACTTCCATGGTAGCTAATCAAATCAAGAAGAGGAGAGGGGATGGCTCTTTAGGCTCCAGTCCTGTAACTTGGCACATTCTGAGCCTGTGTGCAGAGCGTCGCTGAAATCATTGGTAGAGTCAGAGCCTTACAGAGTAAAGTCTGAGTGATCACCAAGCACAAACAATATTATTATTATGATCGTCTGAATCAGAGTGCTACGAGAAACACGGAGACAAACCGCTACATCTGCGTGACTGTGTAGTGACATTGTGTTGAACAACCAAGTGGCTACAGAGACAGCAGTGTCGTCATCTTCACGCCCTGTCACTCAAAGTGCTACCATACCTGAATTTAGAGTCTACTGGAGCAGGCATCCCCTTGCCAATTGGTTTACTTGCGTACAAGATCTCACAGCAGGATATCTGCTTGTGTGCCATTGTGTCTATGGGAAACAGAGGTATGTGAGTGGAGAGTTTGCAGTAAGAGAGATTAATGATGTCCAAGTTAGTCTCTCACTGGCAACATGCCAGCACTATGGATCATCACTGAGCCTCGACAGCCCAGAATTAGAACTAGGAGCGACGTCCATTCTCCAGCAAGTTTGTTTCCTTAAAGAGCGGCAGAGAGACGGATAATGAAGAATCTAATCCAATATCCAATGAAATCAATGCAAAGATTCCCATTTTAGCATGATAGGTTTGAAGGATTGCCTCATTACATTCTTCTCAATCTGCTGTTCCCCCACAGTTAATATCCCAAGACTTTCTGCTGCTTGTTCTGTTGAACTAGCAGCCCTCCCTCAGCCAGGGCTCAAAGTCTGCAGCATAGATGTTGGCGTTTCCACCCCTCTTCACATGCAAATGCTCAAAGAATTACTGTGGTAGATGATCACCAGTTGTTGGCCATTGTAAGCTCTGGAGCCTTCAAGGCAGATCCAGATTTACTGACATGGATTTAGTATAATAATGCCCTGGGATATTATCTGAGGGGCAGCAAGAGAGTGTGTCAAGTAGTAGAATAAGAGAACCAAGAGAACATGTTTTCTTTTAATATTAGACAAGCAGGAAAATTATATGTCCTAATGGAAAGATTGTTCCAGTAAAGTTACCAAACGCCAGAATGACTTTGAAATACAGGCTATCCAAGAGCTGGTCACACACAGGTCAGAGTGACTGAAGGTAGTTGTCACTTGTACATCTGCCTTTTCTTAGGTCTAGGGTTTTTACGAACTTGTGAATTTCTACAGCTTGCTCCTATGGGCTTGCACAACCCTCTAGCATTCGCTGGAGATTCATTCTGAAGTGCAGCCAAATGTCCAGGTGGGTGAATACTTGTAAACTGGAAGGGAAACTAGATCCTCTCACACAGTGGGAGCCATTAGACTCATAACAGCTCAAGGTGGGATGCTGCACCCCAGAGTGTGAATGAAATCCAAATAATTGGATGTGATATTTTGGATGGTGGGGACTAGAGCTAACTTCTGAAGTTTGATACCCTGCTTATCCTAGACTATATAGATACTGCAGCGTACATGGTTTGCAGGATGGGTCCATGTTTAGAGCTCTCTGCAACACCTAGGCCCCGCTGGACTCTCCGCCTTGTTCAGCTGGAATGCTACATTTCCAGGCTTGAGGAGAGTGGGGAGCTGTTAAATTAGATGTTTAGAAGACCTGGAGAGGAACAAAGGAGGAGGAGGCGGAAATGTGCTGCTGACATGTTGTGAAGTCGAAGGCTCCTTTGGACCCAGTGATGTGTCAGTGGACCAGTCATGTTTGGTACAGTGCTCTGAATACATTATCACAGCATGTCACCTGTTGGTGTTTGAATATCCATGACCTCACAGACAGAATGCATTGATCTGCCTTCTTTTCCCTTTCCTTTATTTTTTTTTTCCCATTTTTTCATGAAAGCTCAGGAGCTCATCTCTAATACTTGCCAAATCACTGCTTGCTGATCTCTCTCTCTCTCTTTCTCTTTCTCTTTGTTTATGTCTGTACCTTTTCTCTGTATGTTCTGTAGAGGATGTAGCAAATTTAACAGCCAGTGATGTGATGAATCGGGTAAACCTTGGATATTTGCAAGGTAATTCTTTTTCGCTGGGAGTCCAGCTTGACTCGCTGCACCCAGCATAACAAGATCATGCCAATTAAGTCTAACCCACACCCTCTTGCCAGTTTTCACCTTAGACCGATTTTGAGTCTTTTTTTAGCACTTATTTGTGGGAGAGGATTGGAAAAGGACCATTCTTATCTGCACCACAAATGGAAGATCCAATAAACTCACAGAGAGACAAAATTCAGTGACTGTTTGCTGTTTGTTGAAAATGTTCAAGGAAATTACAGCTGTTAATTGCCTCTTTAAAAAGCCCTCCTTCCAAAGTGAGCCACTGCAACTCGATTTATGTCTGTTGAAACCATTGGGAATTTGGGACCCAGATTTTTTTTTTTTCCCTTGGCAGAATAAAACAGGTTGGGGATAAACTGCGACCTCACTTGAAGCTATGGAATATGGGCCTCAGTGTTGGATTTAACTAGCCCCCAGACTTGTACGCTTCTCCAGATGCCAGAAAGATTGAGCCTGAGACAGTTTACAAAGCACTTTGAGGCCGTCCAATGAACGGCACTATAGAAATGCAAATATTTCATTATCTTCTTTTAAAATATGTGTACCGGGATCAAAATTTAATAGCCTCATATCATTTCTTTTAAGAACTGTTTTCTACTAGGTTTTGTTGCTATTTTATTTCAAAACTCCCGTAGGAGAAGCTCAAAGTGTAACCAGAACCATTCAGGTGTTCGTAACGGTTAGCCCCAAGTCATCTGTGGATGCTTGACTTGACTCAAAGGAGCAAGGACCAAATTCTGTTAGCACCCACATTTTACCTAGTCATCTGAACACCTTGTTTAGTCTCCAAGAGGACAGTCTTATTCCAGCCCAACGGGATTTATTTGCAATTACCCCTGACTCAAATCTCTCAGTGGGAGCTGAATTTCATACTGGGTTAAACAGTAACTCAGTTCCTGACTGAAGCGTGCCCATGCTGTGTAGCTTTGTAGAAAACAGGCCATGCTGAAAGAAGCTTAAGCATTTAAGGAGAGGTACCTGTGGGAAGGGATTTTAACTACAGATTACAGTCATCAAAGTTCATATGATTTTGATGGCTACAGCAAAACAAAATATAAAGCAAATCTTTATGTATCAATCCTTTGCCAAGGCCCTTTTAAATCAAACCCAAAGATGAGCAAAAAAAATTTACCTATTTGAATTTCAGGCCTTCGTTAGACAACACTTAAGGTGAAAAGTTGGCATTTCCCTATAAATTGTGTGCTTCTTTAGAGAAATGGCCCCAAATGTGGTTTCATGGAAGTCCCACTCAGTTACAGTATATTGCCAGCTAGTCCATCCATATTTGTTAATCCATGTCTCAGTGACATTTTTTTGCCTGAAGCTCCTTTGATTTATTATCCCGTAAAGGTGTAGATTACTCGATGGTCAGAGCATTATGAATTCATACTTATAACCTGATAAGCCAGGAGAAATTAAAAATATACCTACAGAAAATTTCTTAATGTTAATATTATTTTTTGGCTCTTCAGCCAATCTGAATTCCATATTTATCTACAAGCTTATAGGTTTTTAGTCAGAAGACCAAGTTTATATCTGGACACTCTCTAAATTGTTCTAGCGAGCATATATCTGCAAGATGAGCACAACAGAGTCTCTGATCCAGAGAAGACGATATGGCAATATACTTGGTGGGTTAGCAGTGTTTTGGTCTAATGCATGGTTTTGCTAGGAAAAACGGCTTCCATGGAGCAGGAGAACCTGCCTCTACCAAAGGTATGCCCATTCCTTCCCCAGTCATATGGCAAACTGTGCATTTGTAATGACCAAGCTGTAAGAAGTTTTAAATGTCTCTCGCCCTGCTCTCATGGCATTACTATGCTTCTGCTCCCGTTTCACTGTAAGGCTAAGCATTTGGACGTGATCAGCTAAAACCAAACTGTCTGACGCTATAAATATTGATCAGTTGCTCAGCGCTGTGGTATTCTGGAAATAGGTTAGAATGGTACCAAACAAATGGTTCCTTCCCAAAAAGGAGTGCATGATTCACAGTCCTCCATAGCAACTGATCCGTCTTCCTTCATCACCATGGAGATAGTCAGCAGACCCCAAGGCCAGCAGTTAGTGGGAAACCCAAAGAGGGAATGATGTGGAATTGAATCCCAGAGGTGGGGACCTGCTCCTGAGAATGCACTTTGGCATTCACTGACTCTGCCCTCAGGACAGATAGCTGAAGAGTTACTTCTGAGCGGAGACATGCTGAGGCAGAGGGGAGCAGAGAGCTGGAGACCAGACTAGGGTAGGTTACTTAGGGCTTTACAGGAATTCATCCATGCAAAAGTGAATTGGCAGCCAATGTAGACAGTGAAACTACAGCGTGACCTGCTATTGAAAAGGTGCCCACTTGTATTATGCATCGTGGCCGTGTGTAGTGCGCTAACTGAAGGTGTGGACTTCCAGGTTAATCTTAGCCAAGGTGTTTTGCTCCACCCTTGAACTAAGAGGCATAGGTAGCTGTGATGCACCTGAGAGGAATGGATGCTGGCTCTTGGCCAGCTGAAGATGAAAGAAAGTTGCTCCTGGCTATTGCTGTCTGTGTGCCTAGGGGCAGAGAGGGGACTAATAGGGGGACCACTGATGGGGCCCTGTGCTAGACTCCCATTTTAAGTAATACCCTTTGTCCAGATCTCAACTGTCTTTGGGTCCTCGGAGACTCCTCTGTTCACAAGCTGTGGAAATAAAAGCACAACCGTTTTCTGCTCCTGGTGGCTAGTGTAGCCATTTTCAAGGCTGGTTGTTTCTCCCAAATTGCCTGGAGTATGAGGTGTTAAAAAGACAACACAGCCCCAGATCCAGCAGAAACGTGGAGCTCCAACATGCTCCTGGATTTTCATTGTAAGGAGACCTTGACAGCCCTGAAGGAGATGGGGTGGCAGGCAGGTTGCGTGGGTCTGTTTCTGAATGGGGGGATGAATGAGAAGGTTCAGGAAGGAGGACTACAGGGCGGGGCGTCATTAAACCCTTCAACCTCTGAGGTTTCAATGTCTCCATCTCTCATGCAGAGGGAGTGAAAGGACCACTCTTTGCCTGTAGCACAGCATAGTGTTTACGTGGCTTAGGGTCTTTAAAACAAGCTATTAGTGATACCATAGGAATAGCTAGCCTGTGTAGTCATTACAACCAGTTTATAGATCAATCTCTGATCTAGATATTCGTTTTCACAAAGCTCTGCACAGTAGCAGAGAATGCATGAATGTTATGGCTTAGCTGATTTCCATTAGCCTCAAGCGCCATGGGCTGTACACACGTACCCATCTGGAGGCCACTGATGCAATGATTACTGGTAACTGGAAAGTCTATCATTACATCCATACACAGGGCATCAATGGTGCTGACTCTGCAACATCACTTTGCCCAGCATCCCAGGAGAGGACAATTGCGTACTATTTGTACATGCAATTCTGAGCAATGCTTCTGTGCTGACCAGATGTACACAAGCTGCTGTGAGCATATTTATGTGTGCGTAAATTCAGGTGGCACATCTGCCCTGTAAATCAAACATCTGCTGTCCGTTGTGGTCATGCATCTTTGCACATGCATTTGGCCGTTTTGCTCAGGCAAATCTATTTCATATTTTGTTTGACTTGCTCTCATAGAAGTCTTGGCCTGTTTCCTGAAAAACTGGTTTATAAAGTATTTTCTAGAGTCCCACTGGAGAACACATTTTAAAGGAACAATCAATTATATTGTAATAATCAAAACCAAGGGAGATGTAACAAGAATTGAAAAGACTGGGGTGGTGGTAGGGAGATTCAGGCATAGAAGAAGAAAGAGTAAAGTGAAGAAAACAAATGCATGAGATAACTTCTGTCTAGGCAAGGTCTGCTATTGCAATCCAAGAAGACTGTGGCACCAGTGAACATTCTCTAAGATAAAACCTTGACTACGATTTCAAAAATTGTGCAAAAGTCTAATAAGCACAGTAGATGGTTTTCTGTGCTGATGGAGTATTTCAGACGAATATTAGAGATGAAGGGCCAGTGAAAAGCCTTATAGTGATTTCATGTGACTGTCTCTGTCATTACTCTGCCCTTGACTTCCCTCTCTATTAACTTGTCATCCCTTTTTCCACCCTGTACGTCACGCATCTTGTCAGTGACTGTGTGACAAATGTTAGTTGTTTGACAGCCCCGAAACCCATTTACGCATACGGAGCTACACGTTTATGAGCATAATTTTCTTGACTGCTGAAGAGATGTACTTGCATTCGTTTCACTCAAGATCTTGTTGCTCAGTTACTTTAAAAACAAGCCGGAGCTACCATTTAGAACACTAATATTTACGCTGTGCAACATGAACATGATGTAAATAGACCATGCAAATAAATATACCCATGCACTTATCTTGCTGTCAGCATCGATGAGGCTAGTTCTATGGAGTATTATGTTTTACAAGATAATTTATGATATGCATGTGTTGATGGCTATGAATATTTCCTGATGAACTTGCTAGTAACTCAAAGCCTTGCTACTGAATTCTGTCATCATTAAGGACCTAACTTTGCTACAGTCCCATATGCTCTAAAAGGACAATGAGTTTTCTTTGGGTAGAATAAAAAAATAATCATGTAAATAAATCCTGCCACTGGATTAAAATAACAAACAAGGAGAAACCTGAGAATGTGGTAAAAATCATACAGCCGAGGGGTATTATAGTTGCATTGGAGAGCGTTTTGGAGTGCGTGCGATGCACAGAGTGCACTAAGAGTAACGTTACTTTTCTTTTTGCATTAAAACAAGGTAAGACCCCGTGTCACGGAGTCCCCGGGCGCTGCTCTGGAAATACTCCATAGGAAGCCAGGCAGGACCCTGGGGGAGCCTCCTCATTGTGAGCAGTCTGTCTCCAGGGCAAGAAGCTCACACAGCTTCGACCTTCCTGGGTCTGACCTTGGAGCATTCAGCATCCCCTGCCCCACCTTGCGCTTCCCACAGCGAGTCCACCCAGGCGAGGCTCCTGGGGAAGCCAGTGGGTCCTGCCCCCCACCTCCGCAGTCAGACGGGACTCTCAGCCAGCCAGTAAAACAGAAGGTTTATTAGACAACAGGAACATCGTCTAACACAGAGCTTGTAGGTACAGAGAACAGGACCTCTCGGTCTTGGAGGAAGGCCCGGATGGGGCTCTGGCCTCCCTGCCCCCCATTTTCCCAGCCAGCTCCAAACTGAAACTTTCCCGCCCCTCCTCTGGCCTTTGTCTCTTTCCACCTGATCTCTTTGTTCTCCAACACCTTCAGTTGGCACCTTTGCAGAGGAGGGGCCCAGGCCATCAGTTGCCAGGAGACAGGGTGTCAGCCATTCTCTGTGCAGACAGCATCACACTGGCCCTCTAGGACTCTGCAACAATCACACACCCTTATCCCACCACTTAGATACTTAAGAACTGCATAGGGGAAACTGAGGCACCCACACAGTATTCAGAGAAAACATTAAGAACATTCCCACTTCATCATAGCCAGTTCTTTACTTTTCTTAGTGATGCCTTATGGTCTGAGATAGACACTAAAAATTGTCCAGCACTGAAATACCTGGGCTGGGTGGCTGCCATCAAGTGGTTTCAGTTGCTCGCAAGTGCTCAAGCAGCCTGGCGCTTTGAAAAAGTGATGGTTGAAAGTACAGGAGCCAGCCCCAATGTCCAGGGGAACGAATGAGGCAAGCGTAGGGCCTTGCTCTGGTGAACACCTATAGACTTGGAAGATGTTCGTTTCATTCATGGGGACAGACAAGAGGCTTTGGCGTAAGGATCACCGATGGTAGGGGTCGTGTGAAGTGTGTGAGGGACAGCATGCTCTGGAGTGTGACCATAGGATCCTGGGGAAAAGGAGGCCCCAGACGGGCTGGGTGTGCGGTTGTCAGGAAACTCTATAAGAGAGAAAATGGGTGAGGTAATATCTTTTATTGGACCAACTTCTGTTGGTGAAAGAACCAAGCGTTTGAGAAACACAGCTCTTTGTTTTCAGGTCTGCATGGTTGGCAGCTTGGACTAGCAGGCTGAATATGGTCCAGGCAGGTACATACTTGAGCAGCTCTCACAACCGGCCCTTTGTGCTACCCTGCTATTTTTAGCATGCTAGGTCAAGCAGAGCTAGCGGGGGTACATCTAAGTGAATTGGGAATGACCCCCCCTTCCCAGCTCAAATGCAGCCATGCCAGTAAGTGACTGCTCAGCTGTGGTCCATGACCCAGCCCATTCCAGGAGCAGGATCAGAAGGGGAGCCCTTCAGCTATCAGATTAGGGTGCTCACAAATTATGAGCTAAATCCTGGCTTTAGGGATGGGGGCTCTTATTCTCCAGAGAGAGAACTGGTGCTCTGAGGATTTAGTGGTCGCAGGGCGCACTGCTTGTAAACCAGCCTTGCCATTCCGCCTGGCTACCTTACAGCCCCCTGTCTCCTGGTCTATGCAGAGGGGGAGGGAACCTGCTCTCCTCCTTTAAAACATGCTACCACAAGCTGAAGTTCAAATGCTTTTTCACACTAATGCATTATAGACTCCAAAGGCAAGATGCTCCTCACAATCCTGTTTGTCCCCACCTGCTTTTGTGGTGCTGTTTGTCATGTTAGTGAGGCTTTGGCTCGTCTGGTGGGAGGCACCCAGGCACAAAAGCAAACTGGGTTGAGCCCGTCTTGCACATATTGTTTGAAGTGCTGCTTTCATTGGGATAGGTAGAGACAGGCTTGGATGAACCAAGAAGGCCTGGTAGTGGGTAAAGTAAACCAAGCCAAAAAGAGAGATGAGCCACCAAGCACTGTTGTAGCAGGACTTGTCATAGGGCTAACCTGGCACTAACCTGGCAGACACGCTGGAAGTGTGATTTTAGCGCACCATTTCACACACATTCTTTAGCACATCTGCTTCTGTAATTGTAATGCATTGGGAAGACTTGGGAAATGTCCAATAGCCCCTATGGTTCCCCATTTTCAGGTGCATGTTAGATTTAAAAAATGGTCCCTGTCTAATCCAGCCAAGAGTTACCAGTGATCACTCCAGCCACGTGCATAATGACTCCATTTTTCACCCCTTGCAGATGAAATGAATGACCATCAGAACACATTATCCTATGTCCTGATTAATCCGCCGCCGGACACACGCCTGGAACTCAGTGATATAGTGTATGTATGACCTTAACACAGAGTGTTCGTAGTGCAATGTAAAACTGTGGGAGAAAATTGCTAAATGTCATCTGAATAGCTATATTGCTGAGATTTTAGCTGACCCAGGTCATTCACGTGCTCTGGGGACCCTGCCGTGGAGGAGGGATGTGGTGAGTGGCGGGAACCTCTCGCTTGGGGGGAGGTAGACTGGAGGAAGACTTACCAGGCAGCGGGAGGCAGTGGGAGCCTCAGGGAAGGGGCAGAGCAGGGCCTCCACCACAGCCTAGGTGTCCAGCGGCTAGTCAGCGGCAGCTGCGCCAGGGAAGGCTGAGCCTATTATACCCACCCCCCCATGATCGTACTTGTAATTGTGTAGCAAGATATACACACAGTCTGCCCTGAAGATGCGCTGCGTCACATCTGCTCATTTATACTGGTGTAAATCTGGAGTAACTCCACTGATGGGAACAGAGTTAATGTGGGAGTAACTGAGGGCAGAGTGCCCTGTGTAGCTTGCCCCAAGAAAGCCTGTGTGCCTGGAAATGATAGTCACGCGTGAGCTAGGTGCCTGCCACGTACAGGTAACACTAATGGACTTGTTCTGTGTGTCTCCTAGGTATTTAATACGATCTGACCCTCTAGCGCATGTATCCAATGACTCCCACAGTCGAAAAAGCAGCTGCAGTAACAAGCTGGACCCATGCAATCCTGAAACAAGAGATGAAACGCAGCTCTAAACAACCTTGCCACTGACCATGTCTTCTTCTCATATTGCTAATGCATGGAATTGTAAGGGAATTCACTATAAACTTTACCCAAAGGGATGAATTTCTTGGGGACAAAAATGGATTCCAGGTGGAATACTTAAAAGACAAAGTCCAGTAAACATTAATTGTCAGTGGGTTCCAATGCCCTGGCAGATTCCTCCGCAGTGCACTAAGAAAATGTAATTCCCAACCTGGATTCAAGCTGCTTAGAAAGGAAGCTACTCAAACCTCGGAGTTAAAGGACAGCTGGCCAAATAAAAGGCTCGAAGATTCATACAGTTATTTGTTTTTAACTTTTTTTTTAAAAAATATATACCGCAACTAGTGAAAACAGTCTTCGTCGGTACTGGCAGATGTGGCCGAAGTGAACAGAGACTACAACTGAAACCTGATTGATTAGAAGGATTGGGCTGAAAAACACCCCTAAACACTGCAGGTCACATTGGACCCAGTGGAACAGGGAAGTGTCAGGGCAAGAGAGAAAATGATCATGTAGCCTTTTTATTTATGTTTTCAATGGTATCCGTCCCACTGCAGGCTACCGAACGTTCTTCAGCGTTTGCTGCCTTGTTTTCCATTATGGGGAAAGAGAGAGATGGGGAAGGGAGAGAGGTGATTGAGCCATCACTCACTTGATTAGCCATATCCAGTTCTGATACGGTAGCAAATCATGCCCTTGGAAGCTCCAGCAAGCTGCTGAGGTGGGGCAAGAAACCCCTTAAGCTACAGGCCTGCTGGAAGTGTGTGATTTGTCCTTACGCACTGGGCTTCATGCCACAGTCATTACAAATGACATTTATCATTCTGTCAAAAGGCTGTGCCAAATCCACTGTTTCTTTTAAAGTCTCGTAAACCGCCAAGGGAGAACAATCCCTGTGTCATTTATCTGTGTTCATATCTACATGGAAACCCTGGTTCAACAGGCTAGTGCTGCTGGGCCCTCAGGCTTGCACCCACCCCGGGACTTTGCCACTTCGCTGCATATTAAATACCAACTGTCTGGCAGGTACTATTATATAAACTGGCAACTGTCCTAGTCTAGCCATACATAGCTGAGGATTAAAGTATCCTGGGGTAAGATGCAGTTTTACAAACAAGGCTGCTGTATTAACACACAGCTTAGGATAACTGAAGAGTCTCTTACCTAGCTAGAAGATAAGTACAGCTTTATTGCCAGCTGGATCGAATGTGGCCAGCACCTCTCTTCTAAATACTTCATTAAAGCCACAACGGGGGCGGGGCGGGGGGGGTGTCACTATCACCGTCGCCAATTAACACTGCAGGCCCATGGAATTAGTGCTAGGGCTGAGCTACAATGCTTTACTCTAGCTTTTCCTAAGCAGTTGGTGACAAAACGCCATAGGCCACGAACTAACTGCCATTGTAGGCGCTAAGTCAGCTATGAGTGACCCTGGGCCCTCACAAAACTCCTGCTCAGCTGGTGCCTCAACCCACTCGGTGCCTAAATTTTCACCGTAGAAGACCCTGCATGCCTAATATTCTGCCTCAGGGCATGGGTGCTGTTGCCTTACTCTGGGGGGCCTGGCTGCCTGTGCCCCAGCGCTATTCACAAACCAGGGGAAGTGAGCCATTCCCTCAGCTCACGGGCCGCGCCCAAGCTAGTAGGTGCTCAGAGGGCATCCAGGAGAGTGGCTCCCTGGCCACAGGACATAGTGCTGCTGGCCCCCACGTTATTGCTTAGCACACACACCTAAGCTGGGAGACCCCACAGCTTCAATCCCCCCCTCAGCTTGATGGGGGCGCAAGGCTTGGAGTGGGGTGTGTTCTGACACTGAGCTATGGGATTGGCGGGGGGGGTGTGTGTGTCTTTTGCTCTCTCTTTGGTTGCAGCTCTTCCATGCTGGATAACTATTTAGTGTCATTGGTGGAAGGGAACTGGCTCTTGGATCTCCCACCACTCAGCGGGGAGGCCCGCATCTCAAGCACGTGTGCTCAGTGGGCCAATGCTTATTTAATCCCAAGTGAACCAGGCTTTAACAAGCTAGACGGTGGGAAACCCACATGAGCGTGTCCCATAGCTCAGGGGGTAGAACACTCCCCAGGCAGGTGGAAAATCCATGTTCAAATCCTTTCTCCCTACCAAGCAGAGGGGGGGAATTAACCCTGGGGAATGTGGGTCTCCCACAGCCTGGATGAGGGCACGAATCACTGGGCTAAACCTGGGGGATAGCAGCATCTCTGCCTGGAGGAGGGGGTTCGCACCTATGGCTTCCCAGCAGCGCTAGACACGTCATTGCAACCCAGATTTAGGCACTGACCTCCTTGAGAGGGGTGCAGGTCTAGGGCACTCTTCTCATTGCCCTCTCCCATTGACTAACCTCCTGCTCAGCGTGCCTGCTTTTGTGGACTCCACTCTAGGTGCCTCTCTCTTCCCTGTCATTGTACTAGAGTGCCAAGGCTTCGAACCAGCCTTTGTGATGCCCAGTGATTTTTTTTCCCTAGGTGCTTAAAAGTGACCCTCGCAGTGCTCGACAGGCAACGGCCAAGTCTCTTTGCAACTCTGGTCCACAATTTAGTCATTTCATAACTGAGAGTCCAAGTCTACAAACAGTAACACATGTAGGTAGGTTATGCCAGTGAGCTCATGTCATTACAGGACTAGGCCCTAAGAGAAAATCTGGGGCTCCAGGACATGCTGAGGGCTGAGGCAGGGGATTGTGGGGGTTCAGGGTGCATGCGCTAGGCGGCGCTTATAGCAGGAGTCTCCCAGAAGCAGTGACGTTCCTCTGGCTCCTAGGCGCAGAGGGGGCCGGGGACCTCTGCGTGCTGCCCCTGCAGCTCCCATTGGCCACGGTTCCCTGGCATCAAGAGCTGTGGAGCGGACGCTCGGGCGGGGGGCAGCGCATAGAGCCCCCCCGGCTGCCCCTGAACTTAGGAGCTGGAGAGATATGCCAGCCACTTCTGGAAGCCATGCAGAGCCGCTCACTGCGGTGGCCAGGAGGTCCCTTATCAACAGGGCGGTCCAGTCCAGAACTGGTCACCCTGTAACTGGTCACAGACAAGTTGGTAAATTCATTTTAATTCCTTTTACTGTATCACCAAATCGTGCCCTTCACTAAGTGTCCAACTGCTATAGTCACAGAGGCCCAATTGAAAGATGCTGCTGAAATTCAACATCCCCCCTACACCCTTCTTTTATTGCCCCCTTAGTACCCCTGTGTAGTATGACACTCTGCCCCCCGCACCCTCAATTCTGGCCAGAGCCAAGCTGGGACCTGGGACCTCATTTCTCCATCAGGTGAAGTCTGGTGAGGTGCCTGCAATCTGCCTTGTTTCTGCTCAACATTTCCCAGCAATGGGCATGGCCCCATAACAATGGCTCCTGGCAGCTACAGCTGTTTTAAGCACCACATCGTCTAACCCCTCTCACTGCAGGGGCTACAGGACGTGGTGCATAAAAACACCAGCAGCCACCTGCACCTTGTCTGTGGCTAGCACCGGGGGAACTGGACAGATGACAGCTCAGCCTCTGCTGGCCCAGGGAACACAGAAGGTAGCTGGTGGTCTTTCTCCCAGCACTAAAATGGAATAAGTGCTGGAGCAAACACCCAGCCCAGCTCTTGCCCTTTAGTAATTTTAAAAAGGAAGATTAAAAAAAACAGAGTTTATGCAGACTAGGGGCCGAGAGTCAGTCTCCTATGTCCATATTCAGACACCTCAGTAAACGTGGCCTGATTTTTAATGGTGCAGGCCACTTGCAGCAGCCATGGAAGCCCAGGCCAGCTGTGTTGCTGAGGCTTCAGCAAAGCAGGCTATTCACCTCTCGGGTTCTTCGTTTTCCCCCTAAAACTGCTCTAACTGACCCAGAAACTAGCCTGGATGCTGGGAGATTCACCCAGGGGAGATGCAAAGATGGTTAATGCCACCTCAGTACACGCATCCACATACCTCCCTCCTCTCCCCTTTGGTTTCCCCATAAATTGCATTAAATGCTCCTTGGCCGCAGCTCCAGAGCACTTTTGAATAACGCTGAAGCTTAGTCTTGTGAAAGCCATAATGCAACAATGAGTATGAATTTAGTCTTGCTGTGGCTACACCGTCGCTTATTTTCTATGCTGTTTCTATGCTCATTGTGGTCTTTGCTCTTATTAGGGGACAAGTCTCTTATCTAAAAATCTCTCCCCTATTTTAAAGAGCAACTTCTTAACAGCAAAATCACCTTAAGTTTGAGAAGGGTCTTTCCAGTCATTCCCCTTAACTCATTTACTGATTAACTGCAAGCTCAACCTTTGACGGTAGTAGACTTTGTTCAGGCTACCTCAACGTTTGAGGTACCAAAAATGTTAACACCTTTGTTATGAGCCTCAGAGACAAAGTTCTTTTATAGAGTTTTATAACTGGGTAAAACTATATGTACAAGTAGCTTTTGCCTACAGTAAAGATGTGAATGTACAGAATAACCTTACAATACTAGTCAGTATAGCACAATCTGGCCAACTCCTATTAACATTGCATTGACTAAATGGTAAAGAACTTTCTATAGCAGAACAATGTATTTTTCACCTATTTTTGCACACTTTAAACTGTTGATGTGTAAATGGTTTATTTGAATGCCAAGTGACTAACAAAGATGTTGACTTTATATACTTTTAAATTAGTATATTAAAACATAAGGGATTTTTGTGAGAATCCTGTAAAGCACAATGACAATGTCATGAAGTTCCACTGGACATCACTGATTGGTTGACCAGGGATTGAAAGATGAATGGATGCAGCAGCTTTGTTTATTTTCACAAACATCTGCCAGTCGTTCCCACGGACACACACACAATAGAAGTTGTTTGTGTTGTTTAAAATTGCAGTTTTAAACAGCCAGTAAAAATACAATTTAGTGCTTAGAGAATTCTGCAAAACCAGCAATATCTGGGTCCAAAGTCCAGAATCATCAGTAAAGTGTTAACCTATGATTCATTTCCTGAAAAATCCTAATATCGGGCATTTGCAATCATGGGGTAACCAATATAGAAACCTATTTTTCCCTTACGGATGAGACAATTCCTCCAGCTCTGCCTTCCACTCCTGACTCTGTGATAATTTTGTATTATTGTCAGTAAACCATTTCATCTAGGTGTTCCAATGGCACCTAAGCTTCCGTTGTAGAGACACTCAGCTTGTAAGGCTATTTTCAAGTGGCTATTGACACATATTAAATAATACATTACGAAAGGAAAAGCAAGCTTTGGCTGGAGGTCGCTGCTTAAATGCCTTCCTGACCCTGAAATTTAATATCATAGGGACAAGCACTGTAGTTCAAACTCACTCTCTCTCATTGGTGTGGCCTAGAAACATGCCAATGAAGAAAAAGGCTTTTTCAGCCCAGTTTTTCAGACTACTGCCACAGGGCAGAACGCACCAAAGCTTGTAGACATGAGCAGATATCAAGGAAAGATATATTCTGGCATGCGAAACGTTAAAGTGCCAATTTTATATCATCCTCAATTCCAGTGTGCATACTGCACCCCTCCCTGTAGCATGCTGGTGGGAAGGAATGTTTGCTGGGTTATGCATTCTCTCTACACTTTACCCATCTCTGGGTCCTGGTGGTTAGAGTTGCTTGTACTAGGCAGCACCACTGCTTTCTTTCTCTCCAGCCACACACCTCAGTCGTGGGGTGTAGTCCATGCACTTAAGTGTTTTTAAGCCCTTCCTTCTAAAAATGAAATCTTCCCACCTTTGCAAAGATTGTTGAGGCTTAAAATAGAAAAGAAAGAGGCAGATCAATAGGCTTCATGTAGGAAAACTTTAAAACCTGGACTAGGTTCTGTGTAGTTGGTGCTGCCAATCAAAAAAGCTTTTAATACAGTTTCTTAATTCAATTAAATTGTCATATCAAAATTGGAATGAGACAGACTTGTGTATGGAAATCACACAGCAATGTTTAATATGTTGCAAGCCTTGTGTTTCCCAGACACAGGGAAGAAAGTAACAAACTTCATCTCCCGGTTGAAGTTCCCTCAGTACAATGTTGTGTGTCTCTGGAGAAAAACAAGCCTACAAATAAACACACGATGTGGCTAATGTTGGGCAATGAAGGGGGTTACACGTTCATTGGAGTATCTAGATATGCGCCCATGGGTACATTCTGGTTGTTTTCAGCAGATTTCAATTGTTCATCCACGCAATGGTGAAGAGAGTTAATTTTCAGAGTTAGAAGGAAAGGTCTGTAGGATCTACAGCAAGTGAAGGAAGCAGCCCTGAACCTTCAGCCATTTGTAGACCCAAACTCAAAAATAACTATTTTTGAAGTTTTGAAATGTTTGGGTGAAAAAGGTTTTTCTTCTTCCCATTTATTTCCCACTGGGACAAGAAGGGTCAAAGTATCATGAGAAAATATGTTCTTGCAGGATATCTGAGGGGAAGTAACAGAAGTCTCACAAGCACACCTGTTCTCTTGAGATTTACAAGTCATTTTGCAGACTTAAGAGATTCAGATAGTTTTGATAATCCTCTAAACTGTGAATATGTTAAACCAAGTCTAAATTACAAACTTCTGGAGGGTTCCCAATCTCTATTTTTCACTCAGGTTATAGTGAAACAAAGCCATAATTAGACACAGAAATATCTATTTGTAAAAGTCGTTACAGGTCAACTCTATAGACTCTCGACTCAGTCTGCCTTGCTAGTTGTTCTTAGGCTTGGCAGAATTTGATTTTTTTTTTTAAATAATTTTGATGGTAAATATCCATGTTTGTTTTTAAGCATTGTTTAAAGTTTTTACTGATTTAAATGTTCACAGTTGCAGGCAACTAAGGGAGCAGACAATCATTTAACGACAGTAGACATTCAGATTCAAAAAGTTAAATCTTTGCTGCTGTTAAAATACAAGTTATTAATATCCTATCGCTATGGATAAAGTAAATCTACTTAAATCAAACTGTAGTAAGTTCTCAAGCAGCACTTTTCTTCTTTTGCCGATCTGTACATTTCTGTTACCACCGATGGAAATATGGTTTTGTCTGAAATTGATGTTTACTGACATTTACCGATAAAAACTGAATCCTTCCAAGCCTAGGCATATTACCTGTGTATATTCTGCTTATTGTACATGCAAGATGAGCACTCCTTTTCATTTGCCTGGTTCCCTGGGCTGATGAGGTGTGTAAATAGGAAGTGATTCTATAAGTAGAGAAAAGTAATATATAGTTTACGTGGGGACAGTGCAACAAAGTGCACTTCCTGTAGCCATGCATGTTTTTAAACGTTAAAATCTAGTTGGAAGTGCCAAACAGCCATCACAAATCAGGCGCTTAGTACTAGGGGTTATTTACTGCTGCATGCAAATTTGTGGGTGTGCGGTCATAAAGTAAGGGATTATTATACTGTACGTTTTCAGAATGATCGATCAATTAATTGCACAGGAATTCACGGCACACGCTGAAAAAAGATGTACTGTATTTGTTTGAGTGATCGCGTCCAAATGAAAGATCACATTTTAAGGGTGCTAAAAGGCAACGTGTTAAGGCTAACCCAGCTGAGTAGCAGAACAGTAAGTTAGGTTGGCAAAAATTATAAATATAATATACTAATGATAATGCTTAACATAAAAAAACCCCAAACCAACACATATAGAAGATGCATGATTTATTATAATACCAAAAACCTTAACTGTGTTCTGTGGTGCTTTGACAATGCTTCATTTTGTTTAATATATACATGTATTTTAAAAAAGAATGACACTTTTACAAATTAAAATCTTACAAATTTCTATGGTGTAAATTTATGGTAAACATTCTAACGAGATGTAAAAAATCTCTTGTAGATATTTAGCGACAGCTGATGAAATTCTAAGATCAAATGTTTAATTTTCTGTTTCTTTAGAATTGGTTACAAGACTAATGTAAAAACAAAATATTTTATTTTTGTAATGGTCCTGAAAATGTTATGGCATCAAAGGGAAAATTATGTGTCCACTTATAAACTGCTGTTGTAGAAGGGGATTGTGGGCAAAGTCCACCTTCGTATGTAGTTGTAATGCTCCAAATGCTTTTCAGTTGTTCAGAAAGCAAGAAACAGCAGTATGGTGTATGACATACAGTAAATATAAAACTGACAAACCTACTGACAGCGTCTTGGCCACAAACCAGTGTCTGAGGCATGAAACAGCACGGCTACAGAGAATTGCTTCAGATATTTATTTTCATTTTTGTTCTTATTTGAAAGACATAAAACTAAGTATTCAGGAAAGAAACAATAGCTCATCCAATAGCCAGTAAGTATAGTATTGACCTCTGTTGTTGGCAGCCATGGGCACAAAGTTATATAAAGGCCATCTCTTTAAAAATACTGTACAACAGGGAAAGATGCCTGCATGATTAATGAGAAAGTAACCTACCTATGTTTTAGAAAGCAGTTAATTTTCTTATACATAATTTATACCCTATAATGAAGGCTGTAATATTGTCAGTCTTTCGGAAAATACAAATGTCTTCAGAAGGATAGCTTGTTCATTTGCTTTTCCTCAATAGCTCAGGTCTAAGAAATATGCCAGGAGTGATCAGGAATAATTGCCTGAGTAGGGCAAGTCTAGTTACTTGATATTTCAGAAAAATTAATGGAAAAGAGTCAGATGGTATAGATGGGAACTCTCAACATTACATGCCATGAAAGCCAGAAGGCAGGCACTGGGGATAGCAGCACTCCTGTGGTAACCACACGTATCTAAAATATTGCCAGAAACACTGCAGGATACGAGTTTTGTGCAAGTTTGGTTACCCATCAGTTGTCCAAAAGTTACTGAGTGAGAAGGAGAGAGTCTCTGAAGTTGATTGAACTAGCGTCGCTAATCTCTAGCAAATCACCACCACACATACTTTCTGAAGAGTATGTTTGTGCTTAACAAACAAACCAGTGAGTCTGGGGAAAATGCAGAAATAAGCAAAATAAGAGATGGCAATGACATTTACAGATTTATTGCCAACTTAATTCCTTGCATGTTCCATGTCCATTTACTGTTTTATACTGCAAATATGGACTAAATTTGTAGATCAACATTTAAAGGGAAATTTGAATAGCCAAAAATGTGTACAGAACATATGTACTTCCCATTAAAAACCCCTTTTGACTAAGTGTGTAAAATATGTCTGAAAAACCTGTCACATCTTCATTTCCCAGAAGGGAATTCACACTCCTCCAGGTCCCCAGGTGCATGCATTTTTATTAGCAATTACATATTACAATTCCAGGTTTTTCCACATATGGGACCCTCTTTTGTGAAATGTTCTGAAATACACTGTAGACAGCCAACTGGAGATTTTTTTTTGTACAAATATATGTGAAGATGCTTCACACTGGTCTGTAAAAAATAAAGTTACAATGAAACAGCTGCATGCAGCAACAGCATAGACTTTTGTAAATGTTTTTGAAGGGGTTGGAAAGGGGAAGTGAGCTGTAATTTTGAGGTCAATTGGAAATCTCCTTCCAAAATCCCAAAGCGCAGATAGGCCACCAAACCCATTTTGCAGCACTCTAAAATTGTGCGATATGTTTTGTGATTTTTTAAAAAAAATTCAGATCTTTTCAAAACTCCCTCCCCTAATTTAACGATGTTTTGTATGAATATGGTGTTCTAGTCAAATGTCAGCCCAAATCAATCTAATACCAACAATATTAAAATCCTTAAAGTAAAGATACAAAGGGCAATATCTAATCCTTACGTGCAGAAAAAAGATTTTACCCCAGTCATTTGATAAAGAGATGCTTCGTCGAACCATCAATATTAGATGGTTCAACCCAATTTGCCCTATATTTCCCCCCTATATACAGTATGTAAAGTCTTTGTCACCCAAAGAAACCACTCATTGTTCAAAAATCAAGAGAAAAATCCATCTCCCAGAACATTCAAACATTGTCTATCCACAATGGAAAAGAGGGAAAAAACTAAGTGGAAACGTTTACAATCACAGGCTTCCAAAAATGTTTAAAAATTAAGAAAAACACACCATGATCTTTAAGCATTACCCTTTCCTTCTTTAAAGCAGGTAAGCTTTGTTAATTCCAAAACATCTATGAACAGGTTGCACCTGGCTGAGGTACATTACTACACTGAGTACATCAAATGTAAGGCCTAAACTTGCATGCCACTAAATGTTTTTCATGGGATGTTTAACACTTCTGATTAGTTCACGATCAAAAATTATATACACAGGTATCTTGAAACTACATTTCTGAAAGACAGACAACAGACTGAAAACACAGGGCCAGAGTGATGTACAAGATCACTGTGTAATAGAAAAGCATTACGTGTATCTCTACAGACCAATACAGAAGTGGTATTTTTGAGTCATCTTTGACTGTCCTCATTTACATACACAAACCCATTCATTTTACAATTGATTACATTTTAGCCGTGCAAAGCTCTACCAAAGTCAGGTAGTATACTTACATCAGTCGCTATCTGTGGTGACTTCTTTTTTAGGAGGAGGTTCATATTGATGGTTACTCATTAATTGATCTGGGTCATTTTCTTTTTTTTGAGACACTGACCTCCATTCCTCCTCCTCCACACCAAAGGATACTTTTGCTGAAATTTTACAATAGCGGAGATTAGAAAGTACACTTAGTTCATTTGCTTGTTTCCTCTGTGCCTTTGGATTATAAAGGCAACTTAAATATGTGGCTTTATCCATCAGTTGAGGGTTGAACGCCCAAGACCCTCCATTTGCATGTATTTCAGTTTCTTGTCCCAATAAATATGGATTTGGTGTCAGTAGGGTAGTGGGGAATGTTCCCTTGCTCAGATCAGGAGGCTCAATGGTACAGTCTAAATTCTGGCAAAGTTTCCCAAAAGATGAGCCTTCGGTAGGTAGTCTGAAAACAGAACAATATGTTTTCTTGAGTTGTTTTCCTGAGGGACTTTCATTCCAGTTTTGCTCTAATTCCTTCTTCCATGGGTTGGAAAGCGCAGAACCTTGTTGCAGAAGAGACCTGTGAGACTGCTCTGGCAGACGAATGGTCTTAGAATGTAGTCCAATCTCCAGGGGCCGTCTGCTTTCTAAATATGGACTGGCAGAGGGGTTGTCTCCTGCTACACAAAGCTTAGCATCTGTGTTGCCAGCCACTAACATGGGGTATTTAGAGTTAGAATATTTCATATCTGGTTCATTCTCTGTTTTTGGATTTACCTGTATATTCTGGAGCTGAAACTCGTCCTTTTTATTACAAGTAAATTGCTGAATTCCTGTATTCCTGGAGGCCTGGCGTGAGTGAGAAAAAGTACCATCATAGCCTGCAACACTGATTTCTTCTGCTTGACTTTCATAAACAGTAAGAGAAGGATTTGTAAAGGATCTGCTCCCTTTTGATACAGCAGGTTGGCAGAGAGACTCAGGGCCAGTTTCCTTTCTGCATTCTGCATTGTCACATTCATTACGATCGGCTGCTATAGAAGCACAGGAATTTCCCAAGCAGCTTCTGCAAGGACGGTTGTCAGTATTATGCCAGGTTTTATTTTCAATCCTCGAATTGTCACGGGGGGCTAACAGCTCCCTAGTATTCTTTTGGCCGTCTGTGTCATTTGAGCTAACAACTTTCACTAACTCATATGAATTGTGCTCAGTACCGTCAGATTGAAATGCCTTTGTTTTCTCCTGGTCAATATCAAACTGAGCTCCCTCATTTTCATTAAGCATGAATTCAGCATCAGTACTTGCATCTCTCAGTCCGCCTACACTTTTCTCTTCGCTTGGAGAAATGTGCATTTTCTGCTCCGAAATAACCTCATCTGAGAAATAACAGTTGGGCTCTCTGTCTGCTACACCTTTACGTTCAACTTTGTGAACGTCCAATAAAGGAACTTTACTAATATTTGGACTGGAAGTTTCAGAGTCAGGCGCCAGGGTGCTTTCATCTGCACTGAGAGGGAGGCAAGTATAGACAGATGCCATAGTGCTGAGTTGTAGAGATTTAACATGGCAGAGTTCTCTGTGTAAAATACTTGGAGATGCAGGAACACAACCTTCTTCACCTCCTGCAAAATGCTCATTGATAGTATTATATGTTTGTGTCAGTGCATCCGAATCAGTTTCTGCATCCAAAGACTTCCAGTCCTGGGCAACATGTTCATTACGTGCATTCTCACATCTTCTGGACAGGAGATTATTGGCACCTACAGAGGCATTTCCTAACTGCAGTTGCTCCAAACTATCCACCGTCCTGCTCTGATCTTTTACAATGCATTTTTCAGTGCTCCCTTGAAATTCATTGATGGATTCAACAATTGCCTTACTTAAAGACTGGCATTCAGCACCAGCTTCTTGGTGAGATATATTGGTTTGTTGGCCCAGCTGCAGAGTTATTGTCTGAGGAAGTCCACAAAAAATTTTACTGTCATCTCCAGGCAACTCTGGATGGCAAATTCCATCAGGAGCAAAGGAAGCGTGTGCATCTGGCAAAGTGCTATTGTTTCCCTTTTCCCATTTGTTTGTTAGTGGCTCCTCACTGTTTATATACTGGGCAAGGAAAGTTGTGGTCACTTCTTGTTCTGTAAGATTTAGGTTAAATACAAAACACCACGACACATTATAAATTCTGCTAAAAATTCCTTATCACAGTTTCTACAGGTTGGTAACAAGTGTCTGAATACATGTCCCCAATTCACAGCAACAAACCAGTGATCTGCACACAAATATTCTGGTGGTAGATGGAGTGAGATGCTTCAGAAGATGTAAAACCCTTTCAAGTTGTGTGTTAAAATACTCTTTCTGCCTGAGTCTAGCTGATGATTATTGTAGCTGAAATATAGTGATGATTAGCCCCTGTTGTCTTACAACAGATCACAACTGAAGCTATCCTTACCTGCATACTTCATAGTTGAGTTTCACAAAGTTGTTTGCTGACCATCATTATTTGGCAGTTATTTCCAAAAATTATATACTGAATAACTGAAAATATATTGCCTTTTATTAAAAACACTTACAGGTGAAATACTTCTAAATTCCCTTCGTGGTGGTGCTTTACATTTTCAAGGTGCTAAAACAAACGTTAACTCATTTGTATAGCTGATGGACAGATCTAAGGAGAACGGAAAGGGGAAACATCTATTGAATGGCATGAAAATTTTTAAAATCTTGTATTTTAAAATTGATTTCTGCTGCTCCTGACATTATACATGGCAAGTGGCATCCAATCACTTGCTGGCCTGCAGCGCACACTGCTGCCAGCGGTGAGCTGGGGCATAATGCTAAGCAGAGAGAGCCTGCATAGTCTCATTGCTGCCCAGGACTTTTATTATGCAATATGCTTCATTTGCCAGCAGCCACAAGCATCAGCACAGGGCATAGACTGTTTCCTAGCATTAGCTCACACAGATCCCCCTTGCCGCAAGAGCAGTCCCACAGACTGATGTTCGTTAGCTGCGGAAGGCAAAACCTCTTCATAAAATTGGGTGTAAATTTAATCCAAATCAGCAGTGCATAGCCTATACGGTACTGCAGCATGGCTACACTTTATGGTAGTGACTAATCTCCAGTCATTTCCAGGGCTGCTTCTTTGCCCTCTGCTTTTCCCTTCTCTGGGAAAGTTTAACTAAAAGGTTAATGGTGAGTCTATCATTACCTTTCAGAAGATCCATGTCAGAGGGGGGAGCCTGCGTGGACAGATCTAATTGCTCTCTTGAAGTCAGAAGTGCAGTCTTCAGCTCTTTTAATACTTTCTGAGCAGTTGGGCAGGGCTGGAATTCATTGCAGCAATTTGTATGGTATTTCCAAAATCTCTCTTTTGTTAATTTATTATTCTTTAAGGAAGATTCTTTGTCAGGTTTCTCACTCCTGGGTATTGTACAGCTGGGCCTCTCTTCTCTCAATCTATCATTATTATAGAAAGACTGGGGATGGATACCTTCTTTTCCAAGAAAGGGGCTAACTAATTTGCCCTGCACTGCAGGCTTAATGCCTTTATTATCTGGGTTGCTGGCACCAGCATATTCTCTAGGGCTGGCTAAATCTGAAAGTGGGGAGTTGGCTCGTGCTTCAGGTTCTGGAGTGAGGTTGACATCCCCTGTGTTCGTAGTCTCTCCCTGATTGTTGCTTTCACTCTGTGCAATGCAACAGTTCTTGAGATAGATGTCTTTCTGCAAATCTGGTTCTTTCATTCCTTGATCTTTGGATCTGTCCTCAGTAGTATCTGTGGACTCACTCTTTATAAAATGTTCTCGACATAAAGTCTCGCAGTCTGTGTCTCTTCTTGAATGCACCGAGTTGGCCTCAAATCCATTCTCAGAATTTCTTCTAGATGCACTATCTCCATGAGCCTCTGTTAAATGACTGGAGATGCTGAAGTGAAAGGGGCTCCAGGATTTACTTCTCTTGTTAGAGGCGGTGTGAATTCGGTCTCTGCCTGTTTGTATATGTGTAGCACTTCCTGCTGGAGAAACTACATTTACCAAAGTCCGGGAACACTGAGAACCAAAAAACCAGGTAATGGGACTCAAAGCCTGCCCTTCCCGCTGGGTTTCAAAATATTTCACCAAGGCTGCAAAACAGAGGGAACAAAGTTGACATACTGCACTTATCTATATTGTAAATACATATTTTAATCATATGCACAAATCTCACTTCTCTCCACTGAGTTGTAACACAGAAATACACAAACACCTCTGCATACCGATGAAAAGGCATCGCTTCACAAGTGTGTGGACTGAGCACATGCACCTCTCCACCCCCCTACTTGAACTGGAAACGGAGCCCAGGAACTAAATGCAGAAAGCACATTAGATTTGTTATAGGGATTGAAGTATGTAATTGCCATGCAATATTTTAATAATTTATTTATAAAAGGTCACGTTCTTTTAAATAAGGACATAATTCTAAAAGCGAAAAATTTTCTTCCAGTGATGCCTCACCAGTGGAGCTGAAAGCACTTTACCCTAATACTGTATAGGGAAATATACAAATCCTGGTGGATGAAGATGCTCAGTGAATCAGCATTCCCATTGTACGGTAGCCATCACTAAGAATTCTTGCTGGTTCCGCAGTTGTAGCAGATTTCTTGCAGCAGTCTCCATTACAATGGTCCACCTCATTCAACAGCAGGCCCCTTGAGACTCTGCAGAGCAATGGGCCTCTGAGCAATGGCTACTATAGCAAAATGCACACGAGAGCTATTGCTGCCTATCCTCTTCCCGTTCCAAAGTGACAAATGCCCAACCTCCCCACCACCATTTCTGAGTAATCATTGGTTTCAGAGTAGCAGCCGTGTTAGTCTGCATCCGCAAAAAGAAAAGGAGGACTTGTGGCTATAGCTCACGAAAGCTTATGCTCAAATAAATGTGTTAGTCTCTAAGGTGCCACAAGTCCTCCTTTTCTTTCTGAGTAATCATTGTTACTCTTTATTTGAACTTACCAGGTTCCCTATTCTCCATCCACTCCCTCATCGGGCTTGTTTTTTCATGGCTGAACGATGAGCAATGCAAACCATGGTCCCTTTTTGGAGAAGGTTGTTTCTCCACATTAGGAAGTAAGCCCGGTGCACTGACACATCTGGGGATTTCAACTGCTTTCTCCACATTTTTGCTGCCCACTTGCTGGAGTGCTGGGCTTGTGGCTTTGTCTGGACTTTCAGTTAATCTTTCAATTTCCATTCCATCCTTACAGATCGTCATGATCTTTTTACCTGTGGGACTGTGAGCCGGCAGCACGGCCACTCTAGGCATCTTCACTGGGGAACTTGTTTCTGAATGTTCTCTGCTGGATTTGGACGTGTTGTTCAAATGGTCACACAGTGCTTTTTCTGTTGTGTCAGCTTCACTTTCCTTCTGAAAGCCCCTTGTTGTATTTGCTTTTATCACACAGCTATGAGGAAGTGAGGATACTGAAGGGGCATTGGTCACGCTCCTCGGGAACTCTTCCACAGAGTCCTTCTGTAAGATGTGTCCATCCTCTGCCTGATTAGCAACTCTGCTATATTTCCAGTGTTTTGTGACAAAATAGACAATCAGACACATGACGAAACTGAAGAAAAGTCCTCCTGCAGGAGACAGGATGAGAGTCAGACCACGTTCATGGCTATATTTTTTAAGTTTATATGTGAACTTGGTGCTTAATCATAATAATAGTATTCACAAGTACCAAGCATGATACAGGCAGATTTCATGCAAGTTTTTCACCACACAGCTCTGTTAAATCACCTGCTCTGCAGCTCCACCTGATAGTCCATCCACACCCCCTGAACTTTCAGTAAGGATCTGCATCATCCCCTTCCAAGCCATTAGCTCCCCTTCCCCACTGTTCCACAATGCATCCCATTCCTGGCTTGGGGCTCTCCTGCCCAAGGACTGCGAACTGGGTGCTCACGAGAAAGGCCTCACAAAGCAGGCTAAGCAAATACAAATGGAAGATTTTTTTTATAATATTTACACCTTTAGATTAATGTGAAGTATGAACAATGCAAACAAACAGCTTCCAAACTATGTTGCATTGCTAGAGTTTACCTGTGAAGCCATAGAGCGAGTTAAATTTTGAAGTGCTTTCCTGTGGTAGATTTTCTGTGCGAGTTGGAAAAGCACAAACTTCAGGCCCGACACTCAACATATGGCGTCCCCTCAGGCTCGGTGGACTATTGCAAACTAGGCCACTGGGTGTCTGAACTTTCTCCTTCAGTAACTGCATGGAGCTCACCAGATGACAGTTGCAGGTCCAAGGATTTTCATTAAGTGACAAGGAGGTAAGAGAGTCTGGCATGCTGGCCAGTGCAGTCATCTTATTCTTAAACAACCACAGATGCGTCAAGGCCTGCAAAGGCTGGAAAACATCGTTATTAACAAACAGGATTTCATTGCTTGATAAGTCCAGTTTGGTCAATGATGCTAGCCCCAAAAAAGTGTCCATGGAAAGATACTGAATGAAATTGGAAGACACAATGAGTTCGTTCAGCTTAGCCAAACTCTCAAAAGTTCTTGGAGGAAGATATGTAATTTTGTTGTCAGAAAGGAGGAGTTTGGTGAGCAGGGTCATCTCCAAGAACCAAGAACTTTTCAGCGTATCCAAGGCATTGTTTGTAAGAATCAACTCCTCGAGGATTCCAAGACCAGAGAAAGCCAAAGGCTCAATCCCACAGCTCAGCAGGCAGTTACTGCTGAGATCCAAACTCCTCAGGCTGCTGATGTCTTTTGCAACAAAGGTCAGGTTTGCAAGTGAAGAGAACAGAAATCCAGTTATGGAGAGCAAATGAAGCCTGGGGAAATTCTGAAAAGACAGTGGTGGTATCTTGCTAAGGTTTCCGTGCCGTAATAGTATTTTCTCTGTGGAGTTTGGCAAACCTGGTAAGACTGAGGTATAAAAAACGTGTTAGGAATTAAACTACAGGAAGACAAGAGGCTGCTCTAATTTAAGTTGGGTACCAGCCCTGGGATGAGACTACATTGGACAAGTACAAAGGACTACAGCTGAGGATCAGACTACAATGACTGAAATTGATCTACTCAAAGACAGACCTTGCTGTGCTGCTCTCCTAAATATCCATCCTTTTGTACTTGGCATATGGCCTACTACTGTATTCATAGGTTCCATCACAACCTGGACTGGATAATGTGTCTTTTATATGGCAATTGCTTTTTCCTTTTTATAGTTTTCAAGTGAATATATTTTTACTTCTAGACCTATTTCTTATAAATATAAAACACCACTGTTCAAAAGCAACATGTAATTTCAGAATTCCACTAACTACTATTCTCGTCTATCAATTGGTAGCAACAGGAACGCAGGAGAGGAATAAAGGCTTACCTTCCTGAAGTGACGAGACATGTTCACATTCTGCTAGCCCCGTGGAGCAGTATTTACAGATTGGAGGACAAGACTGGGCTACTTCCAGGAAAATCAGAAGAAGAAAACTAGCAAGAGCCAAAATACCTATTTACACACACAAAATCCAGTTACAAACACACACATTCTAGAAAAAGTTCTTTTTGAGGATCTTTTTAAACCTGCAGTATTCTGACTTACTTCCTATAGTTGCTCTATATCTATTGGGATACTATAGATTAATAGGCTATGCGTCAAGAGGAGTATTTGGCATCTTTTCATTTCACTGTAACAATGTTTTAGTCTCCCTTAATATCAATTACTGCTTACAAAAGTAATTTAATTAAAAAGGGCCCTTGGGTATTGAAAATTTAAAAACAAAGGTTCTTTTTAACATTGCTCTGAAATTTGTACAACTTTCTGCAACATTAAGTGCCATACACACTACTGACTGACACATTGTGATAATACGAGTTAGATGGTGATTGTTTCTAGTAAAGTTTCTGCATTCATATTGTAGAATACCATGATATTTATTAATTCAGTAAATATCACCACTCTTCATAGGTAGTTTATTAACTGATGCACACACAGAGCAGGGGTTTTCAAATTATTTCATAGAGTGCACCATATCTTAAAAGAGCAGTTGCCTTGCCGACCGCTACCCTGCCCCATTTGTAATCCCATTCATCTCATAACATCCCCATGGCAGCTATAATAATGGCTTATATGGAAAATCAATATTAAGGAAATATTTTGGGTATTTTTAACTCTCTTGAGGCAATGTAACAGCTAGTAAAACGGAAAAGAGCACTATGTAACTGGCCAATCTCTGTGTGGACCGCTGTTGCCATGTATCATAAATGGGGATTGTATATACTGTAATATGACATCATTTTTCTTGAAAAATTTGTTATTTTCTCATTTGATGTAGAAAACATTCAGATACCATATCACTAAACATGAAAATATTTAGATGATGTATCTTAACATGTTATTTTGTTAACTTATTTCCTGAATTGTTTTCTATATCACCAGCCATTCCCTGTTCCAGCACACATCTTGGGCTATATAAATTCTGCCAATTAATGTTCTTCCCAAAGCATACTGCTGGCATTTTCTCAGCATCTGGGAATATAAACAATTACATTTGTGTTGTATAACCTGACTACATATTGGAATAACTCCAGGCATGGGACTTATTTGCACTGGTTATAAACTCATCTTTTAACTTGTTCAAAAATATTACAAGTAAAAATATGACTATTATTAGCCAAAACAAAAATATGCTAGAGTCAGGTTTAATACTTGCATGTTTTTTTCATACAGCTAGTTAGACGCACACACACACACCTTTGAAAATATTTCTAATCTTCAGTGTATTTTTCTGAGGAAGGCTGATTCTGATATTTACTTTACTGTAGTAATTCTGGGTAACTATAAAGGAAGAGGGAAAAGTGTCTTGTGGAAAGTAGATTTCAGTTTCAGGCAGCTGCAAATGTATGTCTTCTTTCATTAAAAAAATTGATTACACTCTCAACCTACCTTTTAAAAAGTTGGGCTGGCAATTAAATGCCAAATTTGAATTGACAGTTACTACAGCTCCACAAATAAAAGGATACATTATGGTTTATGTGCACAATTACCCAGATTACAAGCGTTAGCACAGTAATTGTGTATTGAATTGTATGGCCTACTTTAAAAAAAAAATATACCCTTCTATGACTAACAGGAATGCCTTTCCTGAATAGGAGAAGAGGTTTTCCTACCTAGAACACTTGGGAAACTCAAGAATGAATTCACTACAACTGCAATATTTCCATAAATATGACATGCAACCTTTTGGATTACTTCTGAGTTCACATTTTACAGTAATAATTCAATATTATTTTTTCCTGATAATTTCAGCTCACATGACACACCATTTATGCACAAGAGCATTCCTTTCTCATTTCATATTTTATTACTTTACAGAAATCGCGCCTGAATACATTTTGACCACTGCCTGAAAATATTTATGCAATATTTGATTTCTGACAAGTCTAGTTTCCCACTGAATTCCTAGCACAATTTAAATCCAAATATTTGTTGCTAGAATTAATAAAAGTTGGAACTTACAGTTCATCTTCAGAAATGCATTGGACTTTTCTGTTAAAAACTTCAGCTTCCCTTGAGTACAAAAAGCTGTCACTTGTCAGAGTATTTATGCTTCATGAAAACATGGTTCACTAATTGGACCAGTCATCCATGTTAAGATTCATTACAGATTAACAAAACATGAGGCAGGTTCAAACAGGTGATCTCCTGAATTAATAAGACTGTTCCAAAACTAACATTAAAAAGCTTAGTGGTAACATTTTAAAAGAATTAGAAAAAACACAATACAAAAAACGCAGAGATGACACTCCATACTTCATCCATAACCAACAGCACAGGAAAACCCCTGCCTTGGGAAAGAGATGTTTACAGCTAGAGATTACCCATATTTAATAAATGCTGGTGGAAGTTAATGCTTTTACATTATGAATAAATTGTTTGTACAAGGATGCATTGTACATTTGGGGTCATGTAAACACCATGCAAATGGTGGTTCCTATGTTTTTTGTATTAAATTCACATTCTTGGAGATTACAACAAACTGAATTTACATTAATTAAAATGTAAAATATAACAGAAATAATGTTTATTAAATAATGAAAAGAGACTGATAAATTTGAGTGAGTGAATGGTATTTGTGAACCTAACAGCAAAACATATTTACTTTAAATCTACTCTCAGCAAAATCCTTACTCCTCAAAAAAAAAAAAAAGGGGGCGGGGGCTGTGGAGTGGGGAGAAGGCAGGTGCCAGCTGTATAACAAGAAGGAATTACAATATTTCTAAACAAATCCAAACAGGCAGAATAATTTCTTTGTGATTTGCCATCAGCCCTAAATCAGAGCAAATACAAGCATAAAAATGGAGCAGGTGTCTTGTTGGATGTTATTGCAAACAAACTAACAACTAGCAGTTCTCACTTACATGAAAATCCATGAGAGACTGCGGAACAAGATCTAATATTACAGAACATCGGCCATATATAATGGCTCACTGTAGACAAACATTTCTAGTTACATGGTTTATTAGTCATATTATAAATTATTAATTGAAAATACAGTGTGTAAAACCTAGCAAAGCCTACCAAAAAGGCTGTGTGGTGCATATAAAATACCACTGTAGCTCATGAGATATCTTTGCATTATTAGTAGTAAGGATTTTTTTTTATTTTATATATATATATATGTAAAGAGAGAGCGAGAGAGAGAGAGAACACGCAATTAGCAATCCATTTAAGGGGATATAACCTATTAGCATGACATGATACATGTTAATATTTCATTTTTTGTGCAAGTAAACTGAAAATTTTACATTAATTTTTAGTGCCCATGAATATGCCAGATTGACAATCCTGGCTACTAATGGTCTCTGCCAATGAGTAGAGCTAGTCAATAACCAGAGCAGAAAGGCTCCATACGCCATGAACTATCGGTTTCTAGGCAGCTGGAAAATTCTAGGGCTAATTTATAAATTTGCCTACTTAGTGCAATGCTTGAATCAAAACCGTAACGATATGGGTTATTTCAGGGAGGGGAGTAATGGGATTTGGAGTTTTCTACATCGCTGGTGCAAAACCAGCCTAGAGATAAAAATTTCAAAAGTGCTAAGTGACTTAGGTACCTAAGTCATATCTATTTCAGTACGTAAATCTCTTGGACATTTCTGGAAAATTTACCTTAGATGATTAATGATCAAAACTCATTACTCATCTGAAAGCGGTTTGATTGCCTAGATGAAATGAGTTTGGTGGGTCTCAGTCAAGCTCCTTGTAAATAAATGATCACATCACAAAAACCTTGATGACATGTGTCACCCTTTTTTGGCACCACTAATTGACTGGGCCATGGAGAAAAGTCCCCTCTCATCCTTAGAGGTGCTTTTCCAAAACATGGATAAGGCATTCTGGAAGGGCAGTATGGAGCAGTCTGCATTGCTCCTGAAGTATGTATAATAGAGGATTTCAGCTTCCAGTACTGTCAAGTCTGGCATGTTTCACCACGACTGAAATGTTATACAACAATTTTGGTTAAACAGGCAGCCTATAGCACATGGAACATTTTTTGATGGAGTGCAATGAGTTTACGTTGATTTCATTGGGGAGTGGCTAGCAATTTGCACTTGATGGGTCTGTTTCCACCTCTGCCTGGTCCACCTCCCACGATTTTCCACGACTTCATGCAAAAGATCAATGAAGGTGTATTCATTATTTTTGAGTAATGTATTATCACATGGGGAGGAGGTGTGACCAGATTTGTCTGAGGATGCTGGTGAGTCAAGATTGTCATTGCAGAATCCAGCCTGCGAAGATACATCTTTGTTATTCTTATTTTTTTTTACAGTCTCAGAGCCTCTGAATCCTCTTCCAGGCACTGAGATGCATGCATTTTCCATTGTGGTTATTTGCTTGGCTCCTTTCTTAAGTGGAGATACTAATTTGTTTTCTGGTTTTGCTTCTCTCTTTAACTCAGGTTTACCACTGCTGTAATCATGAATTGCCTTTTGTTCCTTTACAGTATGTAGATGGAGATTATACTGATTTTGTTCATCTTTGAATTCTGTTTTCCTGACTGCTGCTGGGACACCAGGATCACTAGTGGGCATACAGAAATGTGCCTTGAAAAAATCCTCATAATTTAAAGTGTTTTGACTTTCGTACCTTTTGCATTTTTCATACGGCCAAGTAAGAACTCTTCTCAAAGAACACAGCCTCATATTTACATTTCTACTCACAGCACCTTTTTGTTCAGTGCCAGGTACACTGGGTGACTCTTCAGTTGTACTAGCAACACTTAAATACAACAGAGGTTCAGCGTTCTCTGTATTACTACTTCCTTTAATTTCATCATTCCAACACACTTCTGAAATTCCATGGTCCTGCAATGACTGCTTTAACAGTTCCGAACGATCCTTTTGGGGGGTTTCTATGCTAAGTTCAGTTGGCGAAGTGTTTGCATTGTGACTACACATAGCCTTCTTATTGCAATCTTGCAAGCTATTAAAATACCACAGTTCCATAACATTGTTGCAGTCTTCATTTTTCATGTAGGCTTGTTCATTTATTACTGTATAAGAGGTTTTGGGTTCCTCCTGGTTCTCATCAGTTGGTCTATGGTGTTGAGAACTACTGTGTTGAAACTCAGTTCTCAACATAATTGGTGAGGCAGATTTTGCACGAGTTTTCTGCATTCTATTTTGTTGGGTTTTGTCAATTTTCACGGTTGTCTGTACATTTTCATCTGACAGTCCTCTGCTCCTCAGTCTCTCTGTCATCCTGTTAAGGTGGCCTGTTAGTGTTTCATGGCTATTTTCAACAGTAGCTTCTTTATCTGGCTGCACTTGCTTTTTATCTTGTTTCACCTTCCAGAGCAGGAGAAGCAGCAAAAGAAATGAAAAAAACACTGCAAAAATAGTTCAAACAAATAATCTTACAATTCATCAAAACGGATAGGCAGTTACAATTTTCAAAAAAAAATCAAATAAAAATTAGTGGAGAATTTGTGGAAAGGACAAAAAATTCCTAAAGACAGAGATGAATTGTATAATCAATTCATTCCAGATTGAGAAAGGATGGTATTGATGTTGTTTATAAATGCACACACTGATTTAGTGGCAAAACTGAAAGAAAACTTACTGAGAATGTTTTTGTGTTTTATTGTACATCCATTTGTGTTAATACAAATGGAACTGTTTCTCCAAAGCTAATAATCTAAAGCAGGGGTTCTCAAACTGGGGGTCAGGACCCCTCAGGGGGTCGTGAGTTTATTACATGGGGGGATCGCAAGCGGTCAGCCTCTACCCTAAAGCCCACTTTTCATCCAGCATTTATAATGGTGTTAAATAGATTAAAACATTTTTTTTTAATTTATAAGGGGGGGGAGGTCACACTCAGAGGCTTGCTGTTTGAAAGGGGTCACCAGTACAAAAGTTTGAGAACCACTGATCTAAAGCAAAGAAAATGTATTTCTTTTGTAAGTTTCCCCGACCAAAATTCATATTTTTTAAAGTTTATTTTAAACATAAAATTCTGCTTTTATGCACATCCTCTATTGAACCAATCTTCTAGGTGGTTTATTTGCATGTTCTTTTTAACTTACACAATATATTAAATATTAAGTTGCACCTGCAGCAGGTTTCATATTTTAAAAACTTCCCCCAGCCTCTTTTTATCTGGAATAATAAATATGCTTTATTCATTATCTCTTTGGGTAATATGGCAAATGGCTTATTATTACCCAAACTATCTGTTTCTGGAATAATACAATTCTTACTTGATGAGTACCCTTATACTACATAATTAAGTATACTAATAATGTATACATTACAGCATTAAGTACTGAAATACATTCAAAATACATTTGAAAGGAATTATTTTTTCTGAAGAGACAAGGAAATTAAAAAAAAACACCCTGTCATTATTTCTTCAATGGAATTGTGACTCTTTTCAGGGTTTGTCTTGCATATTAACATGCCATTGAACAAGGCAACCTCTTTCTTGAAAAGAGGTGCACATTTTGTGGGCGTAACCCCTTGCTGTAATTGGGGGGGGGTGAAGAGACAGAAGAGGAAGCGCTTTCAAGAGCCTGTATTTGAAATTCATTTCACAGTATGAAATAAGATGCTGAAAATTGCACTGTAACACACCTAAACATAGAAGCATCACTGGCAATCCAACTTTATAGAAGTCATTCTCAAGTGATGGTGATATGAGACTCGGTGGGCAGTTAAAGTCAGAGATGTTCCAAACTGGAATTCCCTTCAGGGCTTGTGGGCTCTGACACACCACAGATGAAGCATCTTCCAACACAGAAGCATTCATCAGCTCTGTAAAAACAAATGTGCATGACTAACCTGTGACTACTTAAGATCCTGGGCTCTCACCATTGCTTGCTGAAGTACCCACAGAGCTGCAGGGGCTTAGCACCTTTGAAAACCAGGCCACTTATTTAAGTGACTAAATATGATTCAGGTACCTAACTTAATGCACTCAAGTTTTAACATTTTGGCCTCTGATTCTGATCTCAAGTGTATCATAAGGAAATAATCCTTCACTGACAGAGGGGGATGGTCTACATCACCTAGTAAGTCTTTCCCATCTCGAATTTTGATGATACAATGCATTGTTTCTATTGTTATCCACTACACTATTTTCACCTGCATTAGACATAATTCAGCTGAACTATTAGAACACCGGAGTGTTTGCTGATTAAGTCCATCCAAACATTTAAGAATTTTGTTTCTCTAAGCTGTTGGCCAAGAAGAACCAGTAATCAGAAGGTATGGAATAGTGTATGAAATAACTGAAAGCAGGTAATATTTAAACTGTGTACAATATTTCTGCAATTGATTCAACTTTCATTGAAAATGCCATCTTTTGTTCCAAACACTGACCCAATATTATACTACCAGAGTTTCTCACAATCCCCCTTTTACATACTTCTGACACTATGAAACAAATTACCATCACTATGCAATTCAGATCTCTCTCTCAGGTTTGTTATGTTTTCATGGTATGAACTTGGAACATGGGCAGCCCCAACTTTGATACTTAGTACTATAAATAATAATACAGTAAGGAAATAATTTATGGTAAGGATACTTTAAGGTGTATCAAATTATTATATATACAGTGAAATCCTGAACACCCAAATCTCTACTAGCCAGACCTTACATTCTAAAGTACTTCTAACAAGTTTCACACTTCAATTAGCTATCTGGCTACAGACTCCCAGTTATCTGAATGTATTTGGAGTTGCCCAAGTGTTCTGGGTGATTGAAATAACGCTTTATATTACCTTGCAAAAAAAATCCAAAATCTTGAAGTTCACAGGAACAGTTCCATGGATTGTCCCCCAGTTTCATTACTGGAGACATCAGCCCACTGAACAAATTTCTTGTTAAGGTAGATAAATTATTACCAGATAGATCAATAAAAGTTAGCTTAGACAGATTCTTCAAACTTCCACCCACAATCATATGAATTCTGTTGTTAGCTAAATTAAGGGTTGTCAGGTTAGAGAAACTAGACAACATATGGGGGCCTATTTCCTGAATGATGTTCTGAGACACTGTAAGGTTTTCTAAGTGTCCTGGTTTGGAAAGCCAAGAACCCATAACTGTAGTCAGATTATTTTTATATAAACTGAGTTTGGTGAGACTATGGAAAGCGTAAAAGGCTCTAGGTTCAATTCTTGTGATGCCGCTGTTTGCTAGAGCTAGACTGGTGACAGATTTCAAGTTTGGGCTGTTGAAGACACTTGAGTTGATAACCCCAATCTTCGTTACAACAAATAAAACAGACGTCAGGCCTTCTGGAAAATCTAGAGAAACAGAAAACAGAAAAATGTGCTTTATTACCTAAGGAATATACCTAAGGAAATACCTAAGGAAAATACCAGTTCATATTCCAAGATTTTCCCCCTCTTCAAGATTTGAAATGAGGATGAGTGATGGAACCCTAATTTGATTTCAACGTGTGATCCTAAAAGCAGTACATATTTGAACATTTTAAATCCTTTTGATAAGAATAAAATGAGATTTATTTTAGGACTATCTATAAATAAAGGGAAGGCTTCCACAGGACAAAAACTTCAGGAGTTGGAAAACGAAGGCTACATGTTGCTCTTACTCAACAATTATAGTAAAATATCAGTGACATCCATGTGATAAATTGCAAAGCCATGTAATGAACTATATTTATCTTTCTCTGACCAACTCATCTGCCCTCTTGGCATTGATATATCCAATGGAAACTTATTCTAACATTCCAAACCTCTTAGCAGCTTCAGTCACTTTTTCATTTCCACTCCCATTAGCTAAACAAACAAAATTACACTGGCAATGTTCAGTTCTGAACCAACAACCAGTTTAAAGTCTGATATTACAACATTGCAGAGAGTTGACAGAAGTTTAGACTGCTGGAAAGAGGAGTTTCCCAGCTTTTTCTAACAGGACACAATACTTGCTACTAATCCTGAACCCTAAGATTAGTCTCTAAAAGTCAGGTCATTTTTATGTACAGAAAAATCATTCTGGATTATTTTTATTATTGTTTTAAATTTTTTTTTAATTTTTCTCTGAGTATTCTGCAGTTAGATGCTTAGTAACTAAGGCAACTGGCTTTACAAGGTAGAGAGGTAGAAGAGATAGTGACAATGAAATACATGGAAAGATTCCAATTCACCTCAGTGGTCTTTGTATCGGGTCCTAAAATGTTTGTAAAATATTTTCCATAAAATGTGGCATATAGATAGCACAACAGTATGTATAGTACAAAGTTTGTCGGCACTAATGTCATATTGTACTAACTTTTAACCACTGATTTGTTAACTGTGCACAAGTCATCTTTCCTCAAGTAGCAGTGACAAGTTCTAAAGCAAATTAAATAGAACATAGGGCGAATAAATGGGTTTCTTTTGAAAGATTTTAAAGATATAGTGGTATGAATTAATTCAGAAGTAAAATAATTCAAATATAGGCAAAAGGTGCAATACAGATTATTAACTTTAAAAAAATACTATTATTCACTTTTGCCCCCCAATTAAGTTTCTCGAACAAAAAATTCCATCCAGAACTATGCGCAATCATTCTGTGACCAGACATTTATTAGGACTAAGGAGTATATCCCACCTCATCACTATTAAACTAATCAAATAAGCTCAAGCTGATAAATAACATATCAACTTTTGAGTCCAGAACATAAATTAGAAGTGAAACGCCTTCCTATCCAAGAAATTTTAAGCAGTAAAGCACAAATATAATTTTTGGAGTGACTTTCACCTTCTCAGTAATCAAGATACAAACCTCTAACATACCGTTTGGAATGGAAGAGCAGAAATACTCCTTTTCTAGCACACACTGGAATCTTGAAGTCTTCATTAGTCCCCAAATCAAAATAAGCTCAAAAATCACTGCAAAGACACGTATGCTTAAAATCATGAAGGAAATTTTTCAATTTTTTTTTAAATTAAGACACACTTATATAACTGATTACCTACCTACATAATCCCCCAGGAAACTCAAGATGATACTTTTGCTTGGTTTTAAAGTTTTTGCAGACTTAATGGATTAAGAAATTCAGCAGAAGCTAGTTCAAAATTCTTTAAAATACTTTGACCATAAAAAAAAAGGATGAAGACTTAAAATATCCTTGCTTATATTTAAGGCAAACTCCAAATTCTCCACTTGCAGAACCAAAAGTTTGGCTTCATAGAATAATACCAAGAAAGCTTTACACTATTGAGTTCACAAGGCACTTCTTGCTGAGTTTGATTCACAGCCAGCTATTTCAACATTTTACCAGTAAGTATATCTAGTATGAAAGTCCTTTATTTGAATGCTGCTTTAAGTTTATAGAGCAAAATGTTAAATGTAGGATGAGGAATTTACTTACATTTCATGATGTACAAATTCTTCCTTTAATTTAGAAAGGTCTGGTCAACTTTTGCCTGTTGGAATGCTAGTAACTTTTGCCTGAAAGCTTGCATGTGATAAAAGAGCTTAAGAATGCATGTGGCATTTTTCTGTCCAAAGACAAGCCAAGACCTGTTAGATTATCTTTGTTTCTTACTTTCCCTCCGATACCACAGTGGTGGGCTAAAAGTGCAGTCATATGGATGACCAGTAGTGTGTATCTGCATGGTATCTCCATGGTTCTGTCACACTGGCAATAATATTTAACCATTTCATGGTATAATATAGTAACCATGTCTATTCTTCTAATCCACTGAAGTTTTAAACAGATCATTAGAAAAGTGCAGTATGTAAAGAACCTATTTGGCATCAGTTGGTTTGTTAACCATTATTCATTTTTAAGAAAAATTCTTTGTATAGTTAACCAAAATTCACTGTAGCTTGTGAACACAAGCAAACTTTCCAAGGTAGATTTGCACCAAAAGCATAACATAACGAAGATCTTAACTCCTTTTGGGATTAACATAGAAGAGATGTAATTTTTATACCCTACAGCAGTACTCAACTACACAAATTAATTAAGTCACTTCAAACAATTCTCATGAAAAGTGCATAAAAACGACCACTCATCAGAAGCAGAAAAAGCAACTTTAAATGAGAGTCTTTCAGGCTTTCTGTATATTATAAAGAAGCAAAAATGGCACAAGTCAATCTTTTAAAAATCCTTTGCAGGTCACCTTCATGTTAGTTTTACGCATCTGATGACAAGGTCTTGATGTTAATAGACAAAATATTTCAGCTTTTTTTTTTTTTAAAACGTGTCCCCCTCCTTTTAAGTCTTGTATTTTACCTATTGCCTTCTTAACCATACAATGCCAAAATTAGCTGTGGATGCAGTACCTTCACACAGCAATTTCTCCTTCTCATCTTCAACCATACTATAAACATATTTATGTTTCACAAGACTGCTTAAGTATGCATTAAAAATTAAGTTATCTTAAAGTGTTGAAGGCTGTTGAACTGGATGGTTGGCTGGCAGTTCAGCATTCAGCCATGGGGTTATGGTATTGGAAGAATCAGATACGAGACTGAGATGCAGAGACGTGTGCTTGGTCCTATGGCAAGGAAGTACCATGGATGCTATATTCTCAGGATAGTAGTTAGGGTTGAAGGGAAGTGCAGTTTTTTTGTATTACATATCTTTTGGGTACTGGCTATAGATCATTATAGTTTCAAAATGGCTACTTAGAGGGAGAGGGAAAGCTGGGATTATGAAGATGAAAACCACTGCAAATGGGAATGAATGGATAATTTAAATCCCAGGAAGTTATTCAGAGCATTCTTGGATTACTGTATTTCCAGAATCATTGTCCCTGGAAGGCAAGAGCTCCCAAAGATCTGAGGAACAGACACTCTGGGTTACATGATGTCAAGGTTAAAAAAAAAAAATTATTCTGAACTTCCAGTTTGTACACTTCATCATTCTGCTGTCTAGTGTGTAATTAGACTATATTGTATGTTAAATTTCTCAAAATTATACACCAATATTTTCATTGCTGCAGTTATTCAGCAGTAAACTCTTCATAGAATCATAGAATATCAGGGTTGGAAGGGACCCCTGAAGGTCATCTAGTCCAACCCCCTGCTCGAAGCAGGACCAATTCCCAGTTAAATCATCCCAGCCAGGGCTTTGTCAAGCCTGACCTTAAAAACCTCTAAGGAAGGAGATTCTACCACCTCCCTAGGTAACGCATTCCAGTGTTTCACCACCCTCTTAGTGAAAAAGTTTTTCCTAATATCCAATCTAAACCTCCCCCACTGCAACTTGAGACCATTACTCCTCGTTCTGTCATCTGCTACCATTGAGAACAGTCCAGAGCCATCCTCTTTGGAACCCCCTTTCAGGTAGTTGAAAGCAGCTATCAAATCCCCCCTCATTCTTCTCTTCTGCAGGCTAAACAATCCCAGCTCCCTCAGCCTCTCCTCATAAGTCATGTGTTCTAGACCCCTAATCATTTTTGTTGCCCTTCTTATTGTACTGGAAATGCATTATGGAAATGGGATAACCATAAGACATCAACAAATGTGACAGTATATGCAAATACATAATGCACCAATGTTAAAGTTTGAAAAAATCAAGGCATGAAAAAATTACCACTGTAAAGATGTACATTCCTATTGTTTACAGAACTGCAAGACTAAATATATATTTTCAAAGAATTATAGTAACCTGTACTGCATTATATTAACCAAAAATACAAGTGGGCTGTAGTTTTAACTCATTTTATAGTACCTACTCTCTTCTTCACCCAACCCAGGCCCAATACAAATTGACAAGTATGGATATTAAACTGAAAGTCGGAGATCCCATTAGAAGCTATTTAAAATTATTTTAGGGCCAAGATTGAAGCTTAAATCTTTTCCAAATAGGTGACCACTTTTGTCATGTGAGCAATGCAGTTGTGTTTTATCAGTGTATAGTGCATATTTTAGTGAGTCTCATTTGACTTATTCTAAGGGTCCATACTTTTATCCGCACATTTTAACAAAACTAGTAAGATGTAAATATAGGTCTGGGAGGAACCTTCAGGACATTCGGCATCTCTATGATGCAGCCAAAGGGCGGGGGGGGGAGGGAGGAGGAAGAGTCTAGACCATTGCACCTCCAGTTTTTTCTGACAATGCAAAATGTGAGAAAGTAGGAACCTAAACTTAGAAGACACTTACAAAACAGGCATTGAACATTGTTCTATTTTAGGTGTTAGCTTCTTTTAAAATTTGGTGACAGCTATTGCATGCTTTACCACTCCTTGGAAGGAAAGTACCTAAACTGAAAACACCATAACTAAGTCTACGGTTCTGAAGTTACTCCCACTGATGTCAGTGGCATACTCCTATGGACAAACAGGCACAAACTCTTAATGGAAGCATGGTCGGAACCTCTAAAAGGATGCCTAAGGCTTTTCCTCCTTAGCAAGGGCGAATTCTACTTATAGTTACATTGGTAAGAGTGGCTTTATTGGCTTTAGTTGGCCTTACTGTAACAGAGCAGAATATGGCCCCAAAGTACAGAAGAGCTGATCACTGGACAGAACAGCTGAGTTGTAGGACTTACACAGATACACACTATAAGGCCAAATCTTGCCACTGAAGTCAATGGCAAAACTTCAAATGTAACAGAATTTTAACCTGGTGTCCAAGCCAGTTGATGATTCAGTGGGTAGGTGTGTAAATGGAAGACTTTAGTACAATTTTGAAAAAGCTGCTCAGGAGGAATGACCCTCCTGATATACAAAAAGTGGGGCTTTAAAAACTTAATTTTTCCATGACTCTATTAGATAAAAATGAAAGTCAAGTGTATGTTCCCAGACAAAAGACTATGCTGAAAATAGAGTTAAGTTTAAGAATAAATGTAAGTAATTTATGATGTCACATACTTTCTAAGGATATTGTAATTAACGCAAAATGTTAGAAACTCAGGAAATTCAGCCTTAAAGGTTAAACTTAAGAAATTCAAACATGCTAAAAAGTACAGAAATGCAGCCAGAGCATCCAAGCAACCTTAACTGTACCCTCTGTGGTACCATGCAATAGCCACATGATTAAGGGGTTTTTGTGAAAGGGGGGGTGTTTTGATTTTTAAGAGTTTATGGTCCCAGATAAAAAAAAAAGTTTCACATAAAGAAATGTATCCCCCCCCCCCACAAACATGGCATTCACATTCCCTTGTACATTCCTCACTAGGCTTTCCTTACTTTCTGCACCCTTGCATATATGCCCCTCAAATTCTACCTCCTATCTGCACCCCTTACATTCCCTGTATGCACCAACCCAAACTAGTTTCTCCTTCCTTCCTGCTCTCTCTATATTGAGTAGATCTGATGCAATAGGTAAGCTTTTGAAAATATTTAGGATTAATGACAATTTGATTTTTTCATAACTGAAAGTTTGAGAGGCTGACAACATTTTCTGAGAGGTTCATCAAGAACAGCTCTCTTTCAAAATGGCCACCTTTTCCTGTTGTTCTGAATAGTATTGAGGTTACATGCTCCTTTTAGTTAAAAACAAAACAACAAAAACCGCTTTGCCAAAATGGCCACTACCAGTGCCTTCCATTATTCCCAATCGAAAGTGAAACCAAACCGCCCTCAGGAAAAATGGTGGCTATGTATGTTGGAGGCAGACTGGAAGACATGGAGAATGAGGTGAATGAAAGTAGTGGTCATCTTGACTATTGGCAGTGAAGTCTCAGTCTCACCGAGAACAATAGGAGATGACAGCCATTCTGAAGGAGGGAAGCTCTTCATGGAATTCTCTGAAGGTTATTTTTCCATCTCTGCTGAAGAAGAAACTTTGAGGTATGAAGAAGAATGGGAAAAATGGTCATTAATCCTAAAAAGAATTTCTTCAATGAACAGGAGTTTGCATTATTCTGTTACGATAATGAGGAACAAAAAGGTGGGACATTGGATGCTAAAGTTCTGAAAGGACCCATTTTAAAATTAATTTCAACGCCTAAACTAATGAATGGATTTACTGCAGTCTCAGAAAATTCATTCTATGCCCCCCAAAAAAGGGCTGTGGCTTTTGGGGGTGGGTGGGGAGGATCTGCTTTACTTTTCATACAAAACAGGGTGATTTCAACTTTACCTGTGGAGCCGTAACTGGTGCCTCAAAATAATCTCACAGATTAACACGGATGCCCAGTTTGGGAAAATATTAGTGCTTTTGAAATTCTGTACGATGATAATAAAATAAACTAAATGACTTCAGGAAGCAACAAGATGCAGTAGACAGGGGACAAGACTCAGACAGGAGACCTGGGATTTCATTTCTAGCTTTATCACTGACTCACTGTGTAACTTCAGAGTCTGTGTCTTAGTTTTTCTATATGTAAACTGGTGATAAAATACTTAATTTACAAAGTGCTGTGAATGAAACATACTATGAGTATGAATTTTTTTTTAAACTGTTGTATGCTTTGCTGGAAACCCCTACATGATTTTGGTCAAATGTTATTGTTTAGAAACAGGTCAAAAGGATGATACTATGCCAACTAATATAGCGACTTCTGCCTTATAATAATCTTCATCTATATGTAAACATAGAATAGCACATCTTTAAAGCTTATGATTAGTTCTTTGATAGGATGTTGCAACAAAAGGTACACATGAAATAAAAAAGGAAATCAGTTAATGATTTTTATTAAATTTCAGTGCTTCATAAAATAAATATGGTATATAATATCAAACAGTGAGAAATAAAGCACAAGCATGAAAAGCATGGTAACTGAAAAATTACACTCATAATAGTGTTTAATACTTAGCACTTTAGAAATCATAAAGCCTTTAGTTATTTACACGCAACCAGCTATCTAACAAAATTTACAAAGTTGCAGCAGCCTATTTAAAAAGTATTGGGGTGGGTGGGGTGG